GGAACTCAGGCGCCCATGCCCAGACCCAGAGCATAGACCCAGGCAGATACCAGGGGTAAGGGGTGTGTGCTGAGCTTAACCCCTTGAGCCACCAGGGAGGCCCTCCCTTTCAAATTCCATATAGTTTATTCAAAGTCAACAACCAACAAACCAGGAAGGAGGAGACCTCCCAGAGAGAAGACTGTGTCAGCACAATCTCAGCCCTGGGTGGGGCAGCAGCCTTCTGCCTGAATGCACCTTTTGTCCAACTCTCTGTCCCTCTACAGGGCAGCGGCCTCCTGCGTGCCTGTGACCTGTGCCCATGACCTGTGCACTGAACTCCCTCAGCAGGCAACGATCCTCAAGGCTGCCTGACTGCGACCATGCAGGCCTCTCCCAGCAAACCTGTCCCTCTTGCAGCCGCCCTTTGCCCGCTGGCGTCTGGGTGAGTGTCCTTTATTCTCTCCCTTTATAATAATCCTGCCCTTTTGGATACAACTAACGTCTCTGTGTCTGAAGAAACTCACTTGGGAGCTCGCCGGTGCTGCTGAAGGGGACACTCTGGGGCAAACTTTCCCAGAGGGAACCTGAGGACCCCACTCTCGGAACCCAACACCTCCAAAAACATCACCATCACCACATAAGGATAAAACATACTCCGGTACACAAGACTGTCCACGAAAAAGAACTTCAATACAATTAGTGCACAAGAAAGAGGAGAAGGGAGAGTTTCCCCATGAAGAACCCACAGTCACCATGCCCTCTAGGCAAAGGCCCAGCCCAACAGTGTGGCCCAAGCAGGGCCCTGAGGCCCCAGAGCCTGTCATGTCTAGGCCGCCTCCCGGGAGGCCACAGGGAAGGGCAGAGGGCCCAGGCATGTCTGGGAGGGAAGGAGCAAAATCCAAGCCCAAGTCCAGGGACAGGCTGCCATGGTCACCCCTGTGGGCCTTTCTCCACGTCTGTTTCAAGTGTCTCCTGTTAAGGGGAGATCAGGGTAAAGCCAGAGGCATGGAGGTGAAAGAATTCACCAGAGGCAGCGTGGAGTACAGAACAGGTGATTGGGTGAACTACAAAGCTGAGAGAAGCAACAGGAGAGACGGGAAGTGCCCTGGGCCCCAGGGGTAGCTGAGGCGCTCTTGTCTCTTCTATTCAGAGATTTTGGTCCCTGGCCCACCCGCCCTGTCTTTGACACAGAAACCTGTTCTGGCTTCTGTGTTCCTGGCGCTGGGCTGGCCTGGCCACAGTGGTTGGAGCTATGGCCTTGTCCTCAGGTAACATTTACCTGCTCCCTCACCTGTTCCAGCCTCCGGGCCCTGCTTGCTGGGGCAGGAGGGGGCTGAGTTTTTAACCTTACCAAATTGTACCCCGACATCTCCTTCTGATGTCGTTTTTAGAATCAGTAGGTTTGGAGTGTGGGGTCTTTGGGTCTACTCTGGGAAAGGTTTTCCCAGAGCTCCTGTTTAGTGGCATGCAGCGTTTCCCAGGTACGTTTCTCCACAAGACAGAGACGTTAGTTATATTTAGAAAACAGGCTTATTAGGGAGAGGGACAGAAGAGTAAAGGACACTTGCATAGACACCAGGGGGCAGAAAGAGCTTCCCTGAGAAGGACAGGTTTGCTGAGAGGCCTCCCTCTGCTGAGGGAGGTCAGTGAGGAGAAATCCTGGCAGGTATGGGTCATGGGCAGGCAGAAGGCTGCTGCCCTGAAGAGGAGAAAGTTGGTGAAAAGAGGCCCCTGCATAGGTGGGCAGTGGGAGTGCTGCCCTGAGCCTGTGCAGAGACTGCACTGATACAGTCTTCTCTTTGGGAGGGGTCACTCCTTGTGAGCTTTAGGTTAGTTGCTGATTTTGGACAACTCTGAAGAATCTGAAAGGGACTGGAGATTCCACAATAGGTTCAATCTCCATATCTTTACCCTTGGGCCTGTGCTCTAGACACTCCCTATATGTAGCATCTGACCCCTGCTTTGGACTTAAGGTTTTGTGATCTGGGCGTTGGTGCCTGAGGCCTCTATAGAGGTGTCAATGGCTCTGCTTACCCACATCTCCAGCTCTTGGCATTTTGTGAGCCAGGTTTCTGGTCTTGTGGGGCCTCCTTGAAAAGTTTTTCTATTACTGTCCTCTTATCATTTCCACACCCTCCACAGCCTGGGCCAAGGCCAGAGGCTCTCTGCTCTTTGTGCCTCCTCTTCCTTCTTTCCATCTCATCTATGAGTTCTCTTAGCTTCTCTGGAATGCTCAGCTCTCCGCTTCGGGGGTGGGGGGCAGGGAACATGGAACTCAACTCAACTCTTTGCTTGAGTATTGCACTGTTACACTGGAGCAGGAAACTGGAAGCCCCGCACCCTCATGTCCCACCCCACCTCTGTTACTCCCCCCATATAATCACAGCACACCTGCTATCTGGGGAGCCAGGTTTTTGGGGGTGCCCTCGATGGCCACCTGGAGTTCATTTCTCTGTGCAAAGACATTCTCGAGGTTCAAGTTTGGCTTTCTGGGCAGGAAGCAAACACCCAGTTTGGTGCTGAGCTCCTAATGTAGAGAAATAAATGAATTTAATCATTAAACAATTTGCCTATATTGGAAGGATCTTAAGTGGGAGGCTGGAGGCGACCAGGCCTGAGGCCGTTTCTCTTCTGTGCAGAGATGGCAACGACCAGGGCTTCACAGGGAAGGGCTGCGCAGGACCCTTCCCCGCCCCAAGGCAGGCCAAGGCCCTCACACCCCACAGCCCCGCCTGTCACTCAGCTGGGTCACCAGTGCTGTGAATTCGCCCCAGCATGCACAGACGAGTCCAGTGGGCCTGGCCAGGCCTCAGTTCCAGGCCAATTCTTTCAGAGCTTGCTCAGCTGGAAAGGGGACAGCGTCGACTGCGCTGCGGTCTCAGCTGTCTGCTCTAGGAGCATCAGCGTGGCTCTCCCTCCTCACCCAGCCTGGCACCACTGGCCCAGAGCGGTTGTCCAGAGGGATGAGGTCCTCCACTCAGTCCTAGGCGGCCAGGGGTGCAGAGCTGGCCTAGCCCCCAGCCCCACCCTTCCCCAGGACCCCAGTCTGGCCCTTACCCAAGTTCTGGGAGAAACTTCTCTCTGCTTCCGCCCACCTGTTGGGGGTGGAAGAGACCTGAGTGAGATCCAAACAATCCTGAGCGCAGCCGCCCCCAACCGTGGCAGTGGCCTCGGGCCAGCCCTGGGCAGGCTGCAGAGCTGGGCTGTGCTCAGCCCCGGCGCCCCAGCCACCTTTCCCCTCACAGTCCTCTCCAAGGTCAGCTGTGGACAGGCGGGCCGGTCTGCGAAAGCACGGGTCTAAATCAGGCCCTCGTTCCCTCCCGTGAGCACAGTAGCTCCTCTGATCCCTCCCTGTCACCAGTGCTGTTATTCAGATGTCCCGCGCAGGGACAATAGCTGAGGAGAGCACGAGGGGAGAGGCAGAGGCGGCCTCCAGAGCTGCCTCTGGAAAGCCGGGCAGGTGGCTGGGGGTGGGAAGGCTCGTGCCCGCCCTCCACCCCACGAAGGGATTTCTTCTAGGGTGCTCCAAGGGGCGCCGGGGGACAGGTCCCCCAGTGCTGCTGAGCCCCGCGTCCTGTCCTCACCTCCCCAAACCATTCTTTTTTAAACATCTCCTCTGTGCCCCTCTCGGGGATGCAGTCAGCCTGTGGGGACCCAGAGCTGCTTCTCCAGCCTCAGCAGCCTTTCCAGTCCGTCCCTCTCCCTCCCCAGTGGTCAGGGCCCACTCCAGGCCCAGGGGTTGCCCTGTGTCCCCTCCCACGCACACAGGCGTCCCCAGCACCATGGCCCATCAGGGGAGTTCAAATGCCATCCAGCATGGCAGGAGCTCCCCAGAAACCTCCACTGTTCCCCAGGATGACGCACTCTGGCCCCTGTGGCACACGTGGGTTTCCTTGGGTGCCTGACCCCCAGCACCGCCCCGTCCTGCACAGGACAGACCCTCAGAGGGCAGGGCCTGCCACCTGGGCTTGGAGCCCGCTGCCTCTGAGGGGGGTCACCGCAGACATGCCTGTCTGCCCTGCGGCCCCTTTCCTTCTGGTTCACTCCTCCCAGCTCTGCCCAGGCTCGCGCCTGGAAGACATGAGAAGCCAGGACAGACCCTCTCTTTTCGCCCAAGGCCTCCCGTGGAGAACCCTCCCTTCACCTCATTCTGGGCCCCAGGAGCAGACAGGTTGTTCAGAGACTCCTCTGGGATCACCCAGCTCCCTAATAGCACTCCAGATCGAAGCCGGAGCCCGCTCCCCTGGCCCCACGCAGGGTGTGCGCAGCCGCCACCGCCCTGGGCACGCCCACCAGGCTGCCTGCTGCTCTGCGCTGGCCAAGGGGGACAGGCCCTAGGCAGCCTTCGCCCGTGGGTCCTCAGCAGTCACCCCTGAAAGTTTCCAGGAGGCTGAGGTCCTGGGGCAGCTGGCTGGAGACTACCGGCCGCGGGGCTTTCCCCCCAACCCCCCGCCCCCGCATCAGAAGAGGGAGACATTCGAGGCTCCTGGAGGGGGGCTGGGTGGGGGACAGAGACTGCCCACCAGACGCAGTCTGCTCCTGCGAGGCGGCTGCAGGGGCGGCCGCGACCACGAGGGGGCAGTACAGCTCCTCTGGGCCGCCTGTCCTGCCATCCCTGGGCCCAGGGGGCGGCTCTGTCCAGGGCCCACAGGCGGCCCCAAAGCGATGCCACCACCCCCACCGGCCCCAACAGCGGCCTGACTGGCGAGCACCGAGGGTCCTTGTGCTGAGCCCAGCAAAGAAGTCGTGGGCCCCTAGACCCCAGGCCCACGCTGAGGCCAGGTGCCTGGTGCAGACTCAGCACCTCAATCTTCCTTTCCAGCCCCTCCCAGGGGACTAGGAGAAGCAAACGGCTGGGTGCCATCAACTCCTTCCTCAGAGGCCTTCCCGGGGAGGTCTGGGTGAGGCATGGGTGCTGCCCACTGCCCTGCCCCTCCTGCTGGCCTCCCAAGGTCACACACAGCAGCCGTGTGCGTTCCCGGCATCCCTCCAGCTGTACACACACACATCCCACGCAGCTGTACATACGCGCACACACATATGCAGACAACCAGCAGTGGAAATACAAGCCTCCAAGAGCTTGTGGGACCAAGGCTGGCTTGGATTGGGCAGCGCGGGGGGACCCACTCTGAGAGCAGCCAGCCTCACGCGCACACACGCCTCGCTGACCGCGTGTCCAAGCTGATGTCGCCTGGTTGGGCTTCATGGATAAAGGGGGGAAGAACGAGTGAGTGAGGAGTGAACAAGCCAGGAGGCCACCCCCCTTCCGCCCTACCCCCAGAAGGCTCCAGGCCCTGGTCAAATAAAAGACAGGGGTGGGGGGGAGAAGTCGCCTTAGAGCAAGGGTTAGGATGGCTTTGCCTCCCCCACTGCCTGTTCCTTTCCTCACCCTAAACCACCCCTGCGTCCCGCTGCCAGACGAGGGGCCTGCGGGGTGGGCAGGAAACCCTGGCTGTTCGCATCCGGCACTCGCCAGCTTCCCGCCTCTGAGGACATATGGAGGCCCCGGCCACTGCTGGCCAAACCTGAAGCCAGCCCAGAAATGACCGGCCTGCCCGTGGCCCCCATCTGGCAGGGCTGCCTGGGGCCAGCGCCTCCCAGACCTCCAGGCTGATCCTGGAGCCATCCAGGGATCCTCTGGGCATCTCCAGCCCTCACAGCCCCCATAGCCCCATCTCTGGGGACACAGGAGTTGCCCCCGCAGCGCAGCTGCTGTGGGACTCGGGATGTTTCCTGGTGAGTATCCTCTTTGGGGACCGGAGTGGGGTGCAATAATTGCGGGTCTGAGTTGCCGAAGGGGCGAGGCCGGGGCACTAGCTACTCCAAGAATTCAAACTTGCAGGCAAGATGCAGCATTAGCGCTTGTGTGCGTGTGCCAGGGTGTGTGCACAGGTGTGTGTGTGTGCACATGTGTGCATCATCCAACCCTTGAGAAACATTATGGAACCCCTGGTACACCGGCTGTGGGCCGTCGCAGCACGGTGCTGTCCCCACCCCAGGCGTCCGTGTTGGTCAGGACCCACCCCAGGCCTGGTCAGGACCCAGGAGGAGCTGGCTGCCTTTGGGGCTAGCAGGGGAGGGTGCTAACCCCGGTGGGCTGCCCTATGGGTGAAAGTGGACATGGGATGTGGAAGGAAGGGGGCACTTACCAGGAGTCCCAGGAAGAGGGACCAGGCCCTGCCAGTAGATGCAGGGGGATGAGAGAGGGGCAGGACAGCAGAAGGGGCGGGGGGAGGGGAGGTTGGGGGTTGGGTATGAGGAGCAGCCTCCCCAGAAGGTTGATCTCCTGGGCCTGCTGGGTTGGATGCGGGAGGTCTAGGCATATCAGAGAACTGGTGGCTCCCCATCAGTGTGTCCCTTCCACGCATGAGACACTGGTGGACACGCGGTGTCCATACCCCAGTGCTGGGAAAGGTGACCGCAGACAGCACAGCCCAGCGGCCGAGCCCTTAGCAGGGAAACTGAGGCAGCAGTGCCAGCTTCTCCCTGGGGTCTGTCCTCTTCAGAGCTCATGTACCTGTCCTTGGGTCCTTTTCTCTTCCATGCTCTCCCTGTCACACACATGGGTGCAAACACGATTACACACACACCCCACACACATCCAAGGGTCCCTTTGCGGAAGCATTTCTCTGGATCACACTGGATGCTGTGGGAAGGGATGGAACAGAGGGAAGCAGGGAGAGGCCAGCCGCCCTCATTCCTCCCCTTTAAGGCTGCCTGGTTACGGTCCTGAGGAAGAAAACCCCTGCAGTCCTCCCCTTTAACTCGGGTTATTGCGAGGGGGAGCGGTGGTGCGAGGGGGAGCGGTGAAGGGGAGCGGTGGTGCCGGCAGGCAGAGCAGTGGTGCTGGCAGAGCGCGGAGCCCACACATGCAGAGCAGGCAGGAGGATGTGTGCCCAGAGCCAGGTCTGCAGAGCCCCTCTGTGACCACTTGGGGCTCGTCTCAGCCCGCTCCAATCTCACCTGACTCCTGGGGTGTCAAGGGTAAGTTGTGAGTTGCCTGGGAAAAGAAGTCTGGGGAACAGAGGGGCTTTCTTGGGGAGCTCTGCTTCAGCAGGAACCTGTGCTCTCTGCAGGAGGGGGGCCTGCCCCAGCCTGGCCCTGTGTCAGGGAGTGCTGGGCTCCCCAGCCAGCAGGGGCTGCGCTCTGCATGGGGTCAGGCCGGACCTCCAGGGTTTGCACCCCTCAGCCTGCCTACCTGCCCCCCTCTCGGCCTCTGAGCACACCTCAACGGGTGTGCTCCTCTGCCTCCCGTGCTCGCTTGACCGGAGGTGGGGACTCAGTGGGCAAGTGGGAGGTTTGTAAACAGCCTGTTGGTCTGCACCCCAGACAGGACAGCACCCCATCCCTCCCTCGGACTCGCAGCTGCAGGGCTGCATTTGGACACCGCTCCCTTGACCACCAGCCCCCCTCAACTTCCCGGTTTAGTTTCAGGTAAAGATGTTTAAAGGAGACCCAGTCACCGCCGCCCCTGGCCCATGGCCCCTGCTCTCCACGTAACTTTGACGCACAAACATCATTAACCCTCAGGCTCCCGCAGCCAGGCAGGAGCCGACCGGAGCGAGTCTGCGGAGGGCGCAACAGCCACATTCCACATTCCGTCCTGGGTAAGGAGCTGCTCTGGCTGTGGTCACCTCCCCCTGCTCCGGGACTGAGGGGGCCCCAGGCCCTTGCTCAGCTGTCCCCACAGGGCCGCGGGCAGTGCCTGCCCTCAGGAACTGCCTCAGGCCAGCCCACTGACCCCAGTTCAGCAGCTAGCCCGGACACGGCTGGACACGGCTGGACACGGCTCACCCCAGGGACGGCAGCGCCCAAAGCTGCTGGCACCTTCGGTGACCTTGCCCTGAACTGCAGGCAGGAGGCAGGAGGCAGGACGCTCTTTAGAAAGGGGCAGAGGCCAGGCGTGGGTAGGTCTGTGGGGAGGAGCGGCAGGAGGTGCGTGGCCTCAGAGCCCAGCGGTCTGGTGTTGAGACCCACCCAGCCCCACACTGGACCCGGGAGCAGCTGGGTGGGGAGGAGTGGGGGGTGGGGAGGAGTAGGAGAGAGGCAACAGGTGTGAGGCGGGGCAGGGCAGGCTTCCCCACGCTGGGAGGGGGCAGTGGGCTTGAGACCCCTGAGGCAAGCTCCCCAGCCAGAGCTGTCAGGGTGGCCCACCTGGCAAGCGGGGCGCAGGGAAGCCATGATGGGGGAAGGGCGCTAAGGGGCGGCCCCGGCCACCAGGACGGAGTCTGGCTGGAAAGACCCCAGCGCAATCACTGCCCCTCTTCCCCATTCACGCAGCACACGCCGGAGATAAACAGCCGCGTGCGCAGGCGGGCGCAGGCGCGGAAGGCCAGCGTGAATGAGCCGCTTAGTGGGGTGCGGGGACCGAGATGGGGGCTGGGCCGGCACAGCCGCAGTCAATGGACAGCGGGGCGGGGCGGGGCGCGGCAGGGGCAGGGCGCACAATACTGGATGATGGTGGCTGAGGGGTAGTTGCGAGGTCAGTCGGCGCTGAGGGAGGACTTGGTGGTGGTGGTGCCCTGTGAATGGGGGGGGTCTGCAAGGGCAGTGTGCAGGGCGTGGGCGTGGGCTCCTCCCAGTGAGGGCCTGGGTCAGGGGCCTGTGTGGGCGCTCAGTTGCAGGGCCCCCCCCCACCCCCGCGGCTGATACACAACCCCCCAGAAGGGACCCCTCCCCTTGCGGGAGGCAGGGTGCTCAGGCTGGCTCCAGCTCTGAAAGCCAAGGTCAAGGCTGGGGGCTGCAGGAGCCGCAGTCTCTGGGGTCTGTGAGGGAAGGCTGGTGACTGGGTCTCCTGTGAGCTCAGCCCGCTTTTCACCCCCCAGGGGACACCCCCATGTGGGAGGCACAGGGAGTGACGGCTAGGGTGCAAGGGTAGTGACCCACTTGCACTAAGGCAAGGTGGTGGACACGCAGACGACACTATGTCCCTTGAAACTCACAGAAGGGCCAGCCAGCAAGTCCCCTGGAGAGACCCAGAGAGGCAGCGTGCACCCATCCAGCTCCCGTGCAGCCACACGTCTCCGGGTTCACTTCCAGGCCCTGTGGCTGCTTCTGTGACTGGACCCCAATGTATGAAAACTCACGTGTTGCTGGACACTTGAGGAAGGCAGGGAGGAGAGGCCCACAGAGCCCTGCCCAGCCAGGGCCCAGCCTGTGACTCATGTCCTGCCCATGGGCAGCGCCACCTGGCTCCATGGGACTGCTAAAGTGGGCACTGCCCAGGCTGCCCTGCCCAGGGCTGCTGGGCCTCCATGCAGGGCGGCACGAGTCCTTTGGGAGCCAGTAGCTCTCCTCGATGTGTCGAGCCTCACTCAGTGCCCAGGGTCGCCCGAGAAGGCCAGCCCCACCCCAGGTACACTGAGGCCGAGAGGGGGTCTGAGCCTGCTGGCACGCTGGCTCCCCTGACTGACAGGGGTGGACACCGGAGGCCGCTCAGACAAGCGAGGAATCAGCGCTTCAAGAATGTCCCAGTCCCCGTTTTCCTAAGTTCACTCCGAGCACCCCAGAACCTCTGGATGCTAGTGGGGCTGCCAGCGGGGAAGGCTCCAGGGCTGCACGATGGGGCGTCCTGGTCAGTGGTGTCCAGCGGGGGCCTCAGGGACAGAGACTTTACCAACCTCGGGTGGGGCATGAGCCCCGGGGGCTGCAGACTCAGCCTGTGGGTCTTCTGGGGCTAACACCCTCTGTCACTGACTTCCAGTCCGTCTCCTTCCTTCAAGGAGCAGTGGGCCATGCAGCCCCAGGCCCAGTGGCGCCCTGGTAGGCGCTTCTTTCTGGGGACTCTCAATCTGGGGGAAGGTGGCAGTCCGAAATGGACTACAAGAAACTGGTGGCCAGGCGAGAAGGCACCCAACTTTAGCCTGTACAGCCTCGTGGCAGGAAGGCCCAGCTCACGTAAGATGAGCCAGCTGGGAGCCTGCGCCTTGGAAGGAAGCGAGGGGCAGAGGGGCACGCAGTGTTGGCCAGGGTCCCCAGGAGGCCCTGGCTGCCCTCCATGCCCCAGTGCCAGGCAGTGTTGACCGGTCTCTGAGCTGGAAACTGGAGTTGCAACTCAGATATGCCTCCTCTGGCTGCTCCTGATGATTTCAGGAAGGACTGTGACCATGGGGCCAGGTTGGACCAGAAGCCTTGGAATGGAAACTGGACAATTCTAGGACTCTGGAGCCCAGATTGGGAGGCAAAGTCTAGCGGCAGTCCAGAGCCGCATCCAACTGTCACTCTGATCACAAACTTTGGATTAGAGGCATGGGCAAGGGGCTCGGGCGGGCAGGGGTTCCGGGCAATGGGGAGGGGCAGGCACCTTTGGGTGCGGTGATGACCATGAAAGCCAACCTCATCCATCTCAGCACCCGCCCCAGCTGGTGCCACCCCGAGGGCCCTTGGAGCACTGGGAGGAGGGCGGACTGGGCCCTCTGCTGCTATGCACTTGGCTCACCTCTCCCCCCACGTCCAGGGTCCTAAGCACCCCCAGAGTCCTGACCCCCAGGTCCTGAGCCCCCCAGGGTCTGGAGCCCCAGGCTGTCACCCTCAGGCCTCCTCCTGGTCTTCTCAAACCCCAGAAAAGTCAGGGACACTGCTTGGAACTCTGATCCTCAGGAAGGCTGTTTTGGGGGGCATGCTCTTGGGAAATCACAGAGGGTACTACTGGAGCTGGGGGGCAGGGCACAACCCCCACACTGTCCTGCACCCCCTGGAGCTGGCCCCGCCCATTGTCCCAAGTCCCCTTTCGCAGGCTCTGGGTGTGAACTGCCTTGTCTTACGTGGGCCTGCCGCACCCCCTCCGCCTGCTCTGAAGTCACAGCTGAGCCCCGGGCACAGAGAGCTTGGGAAGCGAGTGGGCTGGAGCTGTGTTTTCCTGTAGCTCACAGGGCTAAGAATACTGTTTTTAAGCTCTTGAAGTGAATGGGAGAGAAGGAACAGCCAGTCCAGATCTGCCGGTGAGGGGGAGCCCTGAGACAAGAGCCCCCAAGGGGATCTCTGAGGGTCCAGCCGTTGTCCCCAGCCAGAAAGAAGGGTCGATGCCCCCCTGCCTGGTCGACGCCCCAGCCCACAGCACTGTGGGTTTTGGCTGAGGCTGCGAGATGGGAAGACACAGAATGGGGGTGCCTCCCTTTAATCCCACCCTGCGCCCTAGCCCCGCTATGACCCAGACCGCCCCTGCGGGGGTCTGTCCAGGAGAGGCTCGGAGAGGCTCGGCCATCGTGGCCACCCACCCAGCTGGTCTGAAGAACCCTCTGCACTGCCAGTTTGTCTCCCTGAGCCACCTCCTCGGGGCCTGCAGGGCGGGCCAGCGTCCAGGGGCAGCGCCAACACCCAAGGAGCCCTCCCCTGGCTAATGCCTCACATCTGAGGTGGCATCCAAGGTGTGCCACCCCGATGGGGACCCTGCGACGCCCTCTACAGAAGCTGGGACCCTCCCCAGCTGGTCAATAGGCAGAGGGGCAGAAGAGGGTCAACCCCTGGTTCTTGGAGGGATGAGGGGTGAGGAGGAGCCCCGAGGGCAGCTCCAGTGGGTGCCACGGACACACGAGGTGGCTGTCCTGGCGGTAGAGCTGGCCTTGCCTCCCTGGGGGTCAGGTCACGCTGCTCCTCCCCAGGCCTTACTTCTGTCTGCCCTTGCCACTCAGGCCAGGTCGGATGAGACTGTGGGCACATCCTGCTGGAATGTGCCCCCAGGGGGCCTGGCAACCCAACCATCCAGGCACCAGCCCCCTTTCCACCAGTGGGTGAGGTGAGAGCAGAGTGGTGTCTTGCTCCTGCCCAGGGCCACTCGCTCAGGGCGGCAGGCCTGGCAAATGCGCTTCCTCCTGCTCCCCAGGCTCCATCCCCTTGTGGGGTTTGGGGCTGGCATGGAAGCTGGAGTCCTCCAGTGGGGCTCCCCTGTGGGCTCCTCATCACAGCTAGGGTTGGGGGGCGGCAGTCTCAATGCGCTAGTCTGCTCACCACATGGCACCCTGCGCTGGCCCCGTCCACAGGTGAGCCTGCAGACTCCCAGCCCAGGCGCTGCCTCTGGCCACTTGGCCAGTGGCCAGCAGAGGCAGATCCCACCTGCACTGGCCTCCAGCCCCTGCTCTTATCCACCACCATGAAGCTCGCTCTTCCTCTCAGTTCTGAGGTCTTTAGAAGCCCCGGGGACTCCACGGGACCCAAAGGAGTCTCCCTTTCCCTCCCAGACACTCAGCGTTCCCCACCACCCAGCCAGTGGGGCCGGTGGACCAGAGCTGAGCCCCTCCCAAAAGCCGGCTTCACTCTGGGCAGCAGGACCCTACAAGGAACCTCCCCTGCCCCTGCTCTGCCAGAAGCACCAGCATCAGCCCAGCCTGCCACCCACAGGCACTCGCTGGTGCCTACTCACTGCCTCCACATACTCTGGGCCGCCTCCTTGCTCTGCACAATATAGGTCCAAGCCAGGAACAAGCCCCTGCCCTCTGCTCCACCAGCGGGGGCACCCCCAGCTCCTCCAGCTCCTCCGTGCTGCCCATTTACCTCCGAGAAGAGGCTAATTCTTCCGGAGACTCTCAGGCCTCCATGCCCCCTCTGACCACTCACCTCCACAGCCACAGGGCCCCCCCAGCCACCCCCTACAGGGGCCCCTTCTCACCTGTCCCTTCACAGCCCCCACCCACCTCAGAGGCCTCCCCAGACCTGCCCGAAAAGACCCTGTTATGGGGCCTTGGCAGGGGCTGTGGGTGGTGACATACATGGGAAAGGTGGCCCTGGGCCTGAGTCACACACGGTACCAGGCAAGGTCACCAGGTAGGAAGCAGCGTAGTAGTAGAAGGAGGGGCCCAGGCCCTCAGAGGGAACAGAAACACAGAGACTCTTAAGAGAGGTGATCCCAGCCGCAGTCGCAGCCCAGCCACGGCACTCCTGCACTTGGCTGCCCACTGCCAGGCCCTGCCCATGGACACTGGCCCGAGGCGCCCACTGTCCCAGCCAACTGAGCCACGTGCTGTGTCTGGCGGAAGCAGTGTCCACTTGTCCGCCTACCTTTCCATCCTCCGGCCAGGGTAGGCAGGTTGGAGCAGGGCCAGAAGCGGGGACCCATCACCCTGGTCGGCCCCGGGGGCCTGGCTGTCAGTGCACAAGGCACAGCGTGGCACGCCCGCCACTGCCCCGGCTCCCCATGCGTGTGGCCCCGCGGCAGAGGCCTCTCCTGCGCTGTAGCCTTGGTCCACGCCCTTCCACCCAGCCACTCGGGGAGGGCTTGAGTTCCTTCTCTCCACTTGTACTCAGAGCCTTGAGAACTCCGCTGACACCCCTCCTCCCACAGCATCCCCCGAAGCTTCGACTCTGGAGGTGATGGGGAGGCAGGAAGAGCAGGACTGCGGCTCCTGGAAGAAGCAGACCACCAACATCCGCAAGACCTTCATCTTCATGGAAGTGCTGGGGTCGTGAGTCGGGGCTGGGGTGGCCGGGTTGGCCAGGAAGGGTGCTGCCCAAGAGCTGGGGGTGGGGATAGAGGAGCCAGTTCTGTGGAGGAGAGCGGTAGCGGTGAGCAGGGAAGGGGGAGTGGTGAATAGGGCAGGAGGTCTGGGGCAAGGCAGCCCTGGGCAGACAGGCCCCTGGTCAGGATGCCCCAGCCCTGGCGGAGGCTTCTATCTGGGCATCGCCCACCATAGGGCAGCTTTTTGCTGAACCTCCCAGACACTATCCACACGCAGGGTCCTGGGCAGCCATGGGGGTGCTGGGAAGTGTAGGACCATGCTCCACCCATTTGCCCTGCCCAGGGGGCTATGTCTCCGTGGTGCCCACCCCATACCCAGGCTCCCAGTGAGAACCTTGAGCAGGAAAAGCACCCCTTCTGTCTCAGCCAGCACCCTAGCCCCCAGGGTTTGCTGGCCTCCGGACCCCAGCCCCCAGCCCCTCTGAAGCCTGTGACTGGCTTCTCTGAGGGCTTTGCCATGTGGGGTATGCCCCACAAGGAAGCAGAGTCGCTGGGATCATCCCCCAGTCACAGAGCAGGAGTCAGATCCGCCTGGTGCCTGTGTCTCCACCAAGGCCGCAGGCGCGTCAGCTGGGCCTGCACCCCCACAATGACCGGGGATCCACAAGGGCCAGGCAGGGTGCCCCGGAGCCGCCAGCTCTGACTCCCGGCTCTCCTGCTCTCCTGCTCAGGGGGGCATTCTCGGAGGTTTTCCTAGTGAAGCAGAGGGTGACCGGGAAGCTTTTTGCCCTCAAGTGCATCAAGAAGTCACCCGCCTTCCGGGACAGCAGCCTGGAAAACGAGATTGCCGTGCTGAAAAGGTGAGCAGATGAGGGCTGGTCGGGGAGAGGGGAGCGGGGTCCCCACCCCAGGGCAGCGGCTGGGGGGTCAGTGCGGCCTCCAGCCATGGCAGCCGGACGGCGGAGACCAGCGAGCGAGCAGCTCCGGGGAGCAAAGTCAGCCGAGGGCCAGGAGGAGCTGGTCCAGGACACGGCACAAAGCTGGGGAGTTAGCCTGACCAGCCCGGCGGCGGCCCTGAGGCCACAGCAGCCCTGCAAAGCCCAGGGCGACCGCTGCATCAGGGGCCCCAGGGACAGGCCGCGAGCACCTCCTCAACAGTTCCCGCCTTGGCGTGGAGACAAGATCCTCACAGTGCTCGTCCCACAGCAGAGGACACACACTCACTCACTTAGCCGGGTGCTCCCTCAGCCGTGTGCTCACTCAGCTGAGTGCGTGTGGTCAGCACGCTGCTGGCGCTCTGCCAGGAAGACCTGGGGTCTGTAGGCTGAGGGGAGCAGTGGGCAGGGCAGTGCCAGTGTTGACACGGAGCTGGAGGAGCAGCGTCAAGGGAAGAGCTAGTGTGGAAGCCCTGGAAGCATCTGGAACAAACAGCCCACTGACCTGGACATCGGTGAAGATTGTCGTGTTTGTTCTAGGGGCAAGGCCGGGAGAGGGTTTAAGGAAGGGGCCGCATGGATGGGGATGGACACCCCCCCCCCAGGGACTCAGGTGAGGCTCGAGGACACAGCAGAGAGAGGACTGGACTGGACTCAAGACTTCCAGAGAGAAAAGCGATGGCCGTGGGTTGGCTGGTGAGCAAGGAGCCCTGAAGGTGACATTGAGCTTGACTGGGTCGCGCCTGGTCCCACTGCCTGGGGCAGCAGGCAAGGACGCAGCAGGATGTGCTGTCTGAGGCCTCCACCGTCCAGGCGTGCCTGGCAGGGTGCGGGGAGCCAGGTCTCCAGGGAGATCTGGGCAGAGACGCAGGGCTCGCGGACAGCCAGCCAGATGCTCTGCGCAGTCCTCGTGTCTCGCCCGTCCCAGCACACAGATGCTCCGTGAATGATTCCAGTGAGTGAGTCATCGATTGATCAGTGCTAGCATGTCCACTTCTGATTGCACTTGAATCCATCAGCCACGCCATGGGAGCTCTGTATTTTTAGAAATAGCTTCAGAGGATGGCTGCTTGTGCATCAGAGCTCCACGCTAAGCGCTCTGCGTTCTCTCTCTTAACCTGATGACACTTCTGGGAAAGATGGTCGAGGGAGGCGAGGCCAAGCAGATCTGAGTGAGCAGGTGGTCACCCTGCTGGTGTGTGCCAAGTCAGAACTGAACCCAGCTCTGCTTTCTGACCCTGGATCCTCAGCACTGGCCCTGAGTGCAGCCCGCGGAGATCCCGCCTGGACGGGCATTGCTGCCTGGGGAGCCAAGCCCTCCGCCGAGCCAATCCCTCTGCCCGCCTGGCCTCCAACTGACCCGACCAGCCCCTGGGGCAGGTCCTGGACCCCGGTACCGGTGATGTGGCAGCAGATGGTTCTGCGGGGCCCTGCAGAGCCATGCCATGCAGGTGGCTGGCAGCACTTGTGCCTCTGCCCGTGCCCAGTCACCATGAGAAAAATATCTCCAGATGTCACCAAATGTCCCCGAGGGACCAAGCAGCCCCTGCTGGAGTCTCTGACCTCAAGCCTCCCACAGAAGCAGCTACAAAGATGCTTCTGCCTCCTCCTCATGGTGCCGAACCGAGCTCTGCATACCGTCCCCCCGCCCTCCCTCCCTACCTTCCCCCTGGCCCTTCCCCCAGGACCCAGGGGCACTTGCCATCCAGGCTCCTGGAGGCCACAGTCACCCAGGCAGAATCACCTGCTGTTGGTGCCGCACTCTCCAGTGGGGTGATGCCCAGAGTCCTGGGGTGACAGGAATGCTCGCTCCCTGGAGGCAGGCTGATTAGTTTCCCACCAAAAGGACAAGTCGGGCTACAGGGCTCTGGCGTCTCTCTGACTTCCTTTGTGGCCACCTGCTCAGTAGTGCCCCCCAGGCCCCCCACCAGCACCAAAGTTCAGTGGCCGGCTGTACTCCATGCCTGCCCCTCCCGCCTCTCCCCCCAGGATCAAGCATGAGAACATTGTCACCCTGGAGGACATCTATGAGAGCGCCACGCACTACTACCTGGTCATGCAGCTGTGAGTACTGTCCAGCACCTGGGGAAGCCGGCCAATGGCCAGGGAGGGGCCCTGGGAGGCCCCTGAGGCAGGGACTGAGTTCTGAGTCAGGACAACCCGCAGCCTTGCCGCTTGCTGACATAATTCCCCCCCAGTCCACAAATGGCCGTGACCCCATCCCACCTTCCCCCGCCCCCCCACGCCTGGCCCCCTTGGCTTCCTGGACCTGCCTGTGACTCCACAACTGATAGGGTGAGGCCCGGCCAGCACGGCCCCCAGGCCCCTTCTCTGCACCCGTGACTTGCACACACCTCAGCCAGTACATGCCGCCCAGGTGGTAGTCAGCACGTCCCTGGCACTGAGGGCAGCACCCCGGGGAGCAGGGCTGGGCACGGAGTGGGGTTTCCTGGCAAGGGACCGCTGGCTACGAACCGGCCATGCTATGTATTCAGTGCCGAGTGGAGCAGCCTGTGGCCTATGGGTGCTTCCGGGGTCTCAGGGGATACTCTTGTGCTCAAAGCCACTTCCCAGGAGACACCATGAGCTGCTGTTAGCCCAGGGACCCTGGACCCCAACACAGAAATGCAGAGCAGTCGGGGGAGTGGGTAGGCACCTGGAGCAGCCAGGCCACCGGCATGCTGCCCGGGGAGGGGCGGGCAGCAGGCATCCGTCTCTGCACAGCCATCTCCAGAGGCTGGGGCACTGTAAGGGCCCCCACAAGTCCCTTTCTCGGGCCTGGCTGCTGCCATGGAGCAGGTGGACACAGGCGGGGGGGCAGATGGGGTGCGGTCTGACTGGAGAACCCCCCATCCCCTGCCCTTGGCTGCTGTAGGCCCTGACCTAGGACACAGGGAGCTGCTGGGGGAGATGGCAGGGTCTGTTTCAGGCTGCAGCAGTCAGGCTGCTTGTCTTAGAGACAGCAGGGGAGGGAGAGGGGGTTGGGGATGCCTCAGCCATGTGGAGAAGGTGTGGGCGGGGCAGGGGCGAGGGGCTGCTCTGCGTGTCCGGTGGGCTAGGAAGCCCGCATGCAAGGCAGGCCAGGCGTGACAGCTGCTCTGGCCCGATGCACCTGGGCCTGGCCTTGGTCACCCCACCTCCGAGGCTGGGAGGGGCCGGGCCAGCGAGGCCAGCTGCTCCTTCCAGCACGGCACTGGGTCTGAGTCTTCCCCATTTCCTAGGCGGCCCAAGAGTGGGTGGATGGCACTGACCGCAGGGGGATGAGGGGCTTGCTGTGGGGCCCTAATCAGGGCGTGGCACAGCAATCGGCAGGCTCCAGCACCCTGTCCTGCCTCCTGCCCAGAGGGCACAGCACGGCCCTCCTGCTTTGCCCCCAGGGTTTCCGGCGGGGAGCTCTTCGACCGCATCCTGGAGCGCGGGGTCTACACGGAGAAGGACGCCAGCCTGGTCATCCGGCAGGTCCTGTCAGCTGTGAAGTACCTGCACGAGAACGGCATCGTCCACAGAGACCTCAAGGTGCGGCAGTGCGGACAGGGGGGACCGTGTCTGGCCATGAGCGGGGCACAGGCCGACCCCAAGGCCTCTGCCCTCTGGCCTCAGTCTTGGACACTTGCTCAGCTTGCCCTAGCCTCTCCCTGGAGGGTCCACGACCTCAGAAGCCTGGTCTACGGGCTACAGCCCAGTGGGCCCGAGTGTGACAGATGCTTGGAGGTGGCCCAGGGGCACACAGCCTCAGCCATCAGCCCAGGGTGGGCACCCTGAAAACACAGCCCATGTTGGCTCCAGGAGGCCAGGCTGCTGCCCCAGTGGCCACAAGGCCAGAGAGGCCAGGGCCACAAGCACGACTGGTGTGCTGGGCACAGGGCTGAGGGTACAGTGGAGGAGGATGGGGAGTCAGGCTGGCTGGAAGCCAGTACCCCAGGGGCTGCACAGCAGAGGAGGGGAAACTGTCCTGGGCGTCCCCCTGCCTTGCCCACTGAAAGGCTCTTGGCCGCAGCCTGAGAACCTGCTGTACCTGACCCCCGAGGAGAACTCGAAGATCATGATCACAGACTTTGGGCTGTCCAAGATGGAGCAGAGTGGGGTCATGTCCACAGCCTGCGGGACCCCCGGCTACGTGGGTGAGTCTGGAGCAGCAGGGAGGGTGACCCACTGCCTGCAGGCTGCTCCGGGTGGAGTGGTCACTCCTAGAGGTCAGGGTCAGCCGGCCCCTTGTGCCTCCGGAGCTGCTCAGAAACCATCCCCTGGCCCCCCTACTTCCCCGCCTGCACTTGAGCTCCCACCTTTGCAACTAGACAGGGACAGGGACAAGATCACGAACCCGAGGGTCATCAAGATGCTGGGGGCTGACCACAGCCCACCTCTCTCCTGGAGGACAGTGCTGGCCCCATTGTTGGTATCCAGAGGCACAGTGTTGAGTTTGGGTCCAAGGAACCCAGACTTGACCCCCTGCATTGATAGTCCTGTGGCCTCTGGGCCCCCAAAGTATAAGAGCAACGGGTGCCAGGCAGCACACCCCTGGGACCCAGCACCAGCCTCTCCTCTCAGCCAGCCTTCTCCTGGCCAGCTGGGACGTGGGAACACAGGAGGGTGGGCAGTCACTTCCAAGCCCTGTGGAGCCCACGGGCACTGGGCCCTTACCGGGCACAAGGGGAGGCAGCTCTCTGCTGTCCCAGGGAGCCCCATCAGAGGAAGACGAGGCTCAGTCCCTCTCTCCATCCAAGGGGCCAGTTCACCCCTTTCTCTGAGGTAACGGGGACTGCTGTCACAGGGCCCCTCGCTTGTGGGGAGACAGGCTTTGCCTGCAGGGAGGCTCCAGGCCCTGGGAGGGACCATCCTGCCTGGGACCACCACCACACACGGGGCTCTGCCTTCAGGGTCTATGTCTGACGGAGGAGCAGAGCCTGGAGACCCCATCTGGTGGCCATCAGTGGGCTGCTGCCACCCTTCCAGGGGGTGAGGGAGGGCCAGTCTTCCAGGGAAACCCCAGCCCTATCCTGGGCCGTTTTTAGCCGCCCAGTCCTCCCTAAGGCCTTTCCGGTCCTCAGCCCTGACTCACCTGGGTTTTGCCACAGCTCCGGAGGTGCTGGCTCAGAAGCCCTACAGCAAGGCTGTGGACTGCTGGTCCATCGGCGTCATCACGTACATCCTGTGAGCACTCGGACCACACCCCTGTGCCCCCGCGGCTCCCCACACCGCCCCCTGCATCCCCCACTCCAAAGCCCATGGTGTATGTGCCCACAGCTCTCTCACGCACATGCACACGTGCACAAGCCCGCACTCGTGCACGTGCATACATGCACACATTCATGTGTGTGCACACAGCTGTGCAGTCACACACTGGCCATGCACACGAACATTCGTGCACTCGCACACTCCTGCTGGTACACACACGCTCGCATACCTGTGTGCAGATGTATGCACACCACACACGTGCACACACAGGCCACATGCTCATGCACATAGTGCCATACTCCTATGCTGGTCGCCACTGGGTTCCAGAAGTGGTGCTCAGAGCAAGCCCACGGCCCAGCCCGCAGCTGGCACTGCCCGTTACTAGACAGCCTGCGGTGCTGGCTTGCAGGCGGCCACCAACTGGGGAGTGGCAGGCCCAGGGCTCACAGCTCGAGCATCTGTCCCAGCAGCATGAGCCCAAGCAAAAGGAAGGTGGGTGCAGTGGTCAGGGTGCGGCCTGTGGGGCACGGCCGGTTGGGCCTCCCTCTCGCTCCTCCCCAGGCACACCAGCACCTTTCCTGACCTGCCCTCACCTGCCCCGCACCCCTCTCACCTGCACATCTGGAAAGTTACCGCCTGGTGCATGGTCCATCAAGCACCGAGCTGGGGTGGAGCAGAACGGGGAGAGGCATGGGTGGGGACCGGGTCCCGAGGGACCGTCCCCGATGCCTACCCCAGCTGTGGTCCGCAGCACGCTGGTCCCAGCCACACCCTCCGTGTGTGTGGGTAGGGGCCCGCAGTGCCACCTGTCCCTCCCAGGCTGTGTGGATACCCGCCCTTCTATGAGGACTCCGAGTCGAAGCTCTTCGAGAAGATCAAGGAGGGCTCCTACGAGTTCGAGTCTCCGTTCTGGGATGACATTTCTGAGTCAGGTAAAACAGGCGGCTGGACAGGACAATGCTCCCAGCAGGCTGCAGAGGGTGCCCCAGGGGGACAGGCTGGATCTGAGCGCCCCAGGGCTGGGCCAGCGGGGAAAGTGGCCCATCTCCACGGCTCCAAGTTCAAAGAAATGACCTGCCTGCAGCCTGAGGCACCTGCGTTTGGTTTCTTGGAGGCGCAGAACCAACTGCCACAGCGGGAGGCTGCATAGCTGGTCAGAGGGGCCAGTTCTTGGGCCCAGGCAAACCCGAGGCCACGTGTGTCAGTCCTCACTGCGGCCTTGTGCTGCCTGGTCCCTGCTGAGCCGCTGTCCCCTGTTGGAGGTGGAAGTGATCCGCTGACCCGCTGGGCTGCCCTGGGCCAGTGCCCCGGGTCCAGGAACGCCCAAGTGGAGTGCAGGCTCCAGGCGCCCGTGACTCAGCGTCTGCTGGGTCAGCTCAGGCTCTGGGGAGTGGCAGGGAGGGTGGTGGTGGGTCATTACGCGGTTTGGATTTTTTCTCTCCTTGAAGACTGAAAACTGCCTCTTGGGCGGATTAGCTAAAGCCGCCTCCAGGGCCACCAGCCAGCGGAAGCGAATCTCCATCAGCTGCGAAACAGGGCTTGCCGTTGTCTCTGATTCTCCCCCTTAGCCAAGGATTTCATCTGCCACTTGCTGGAGAAGAACCCCGAGGAGCGGTATACCTGTGAGAAGGCCCTGCAGCACCCCTGGTGAGCGGGGTACGGGCTGCTGGCCCCTGCCCACAGCCTTTCCCAGGGCTGGCTGGCCACTGTGGACCCAAGCACGTGGGTCCAGCCGGTCCTCCGGCGGCAAGCTGTCTTTGACCCAAGAGAGGCAGGTGGGTGCCCACGGGCCCAGGACTAGCTCCTCGGGAGGCCGCAGGCAGCCGTGTACCGTTCTGCAGAGCACGGGGGCAAAGCCTTTCGGGGAGGTGGACTGAAGACAGTCACAAAGCAGACAGTTGGGAAGTAGGTGAACAAGTCCTGAATCCTGGTGCTGCAGAACCCCGGGGCTCCACTGTCCCCATTGGGCAGCCAGGACTGGGAAGCAGGTCCTCTGTCTCTGTGGCTGCCCGCCTGGCCGACCTTGACCCCCACCTGCATTGCCAGGATCCTGGCACACCTTCCCTGCCCCAAGGCCCGAGGGCTGCATGCCCCCAGCTGCCAGCTCGTTCTGAACTGCACCAGTGAGGGTGCCAGGCTCGCCCCAGAAGTCCTGCCTCACTTGAGCCCTGAGTGGGGCACCTTTGGTCCCCTGCTGACCGCCTCTCCTGTAGCCCCGTGCCTGCAGCCCCTGCGCCTGTCCATCTCGCGCTTACTTGTGCAGCTAGCCAAGAACCCCTCCCTCCTGGTGTGGATCAACGCTGGGAGGTTGAGGCCCTGGGGGTTGGGCCCTCCTGTTGCTCCTGGTCCCCTGCCCTAGCATGTGCCGTGCCTGTGCCTGCAGGCGGCCAAGCGCTGAGAGGCAGGGAACAAAGGTGGGCAGGAACGGGCAGCGGCAGGTGGTGCTTCCTTGCAGAGGTTTCCAGGTGAGGGTGCTCTGGCCAAGCTCTGAAATGAAGAAGGGGGGCACCCAAGTCTCCCCAGACACCCCTCCCTGCAGCTGCAGCAGGAGAGTGCTGTGTGTGGGATGCCATCGGATCTCAGGAGCCAGGCTGGGTGGCCCCAGGTGTCCTCCCACTGGACAGCCTGCCCTTGGGGTTGCCAAAGTAGAGTCCCCTGTGAGCTGTCCTGGGGGTTAGCTGCCCTCCTCCTGGGGTGTCCACTAGGCAGCCTTGCGGGCCCCCTACTGAGTGTCCCTGGCCCCCTCCCTCCAGCTGACCCCCTGTGCCCGCAGGATTGACGGGAACACCGCGCTGCACCGGGACATCTACCCATCAGTCAGCCAGCAGATCCAGAAGAACTTCGCCAAGAGCAAGTGGAGGGTAGGCAGAGGAGGGAGGGTGGCCAGGCAGCGGAGCAGGCCCTGTCCTGGGAGGGTCTCCCCTGAAGCTGTGCTGATGGGTGGGACCCCAGAGGGCGGGGCCTGTCCTGGGGGGGTGTCCACCGATGGCAGGGTGGGGGGGGACGATGGTGGTGTCCCCAGACAGCCGGCTGTCCTGGGGCGGGGTCTCCCCTTGGGGCAGAGTCTCCACCGGAGCCTGCTGTCCTGGCAGTCCCTTCCTGCAGCTGCCCGCAGACCCCAGCACCCTGGGCCTCTCTGAAGCAGCAGCGGCTCTGGCTTGAGGCCGCAGGCCGAGGGTGAAGGCGCGGTGTGTGTCCCCGCAGCAGGCTTTCAACGCGGCGGCAGTGGTGCACCACATGCGGAAGTTGCACATGGGCGTGCACAGCCCAGGCACCCGCCCGGAGGTGGAGAGCAGGCCGCCCGCGCCCCGTGCCCCCGCCGCCTGCCCCTGCTCCCCCGAGATCACCGTCTCCCGGGCGCCCGCACCGGACCACAGCGTGGCCCCCCCAGCCCTGGCCCGGCCCGCTGCCCCCGGAGGCAGGTCCCTCAACTGCCTGGTCCGCGGCTCGCTGCGTGTCAGCGGCAGCCTTGTGCCCATGCAGCAGGGACCCCTGGCCCGAGGGCCCTGCGGCTGCTGCTCCAGCTGCCTGAGCCTCGGTGGCAAAGAGAAGTCCTCCTGCTGCTCTGAACCAGCGCTGCTGAGAAAGGCCAACAGGAAACAGTGGGTGCCCCCCCCCCCCGCACCAGTGTCTGGGGAGAACTCTGGGGGAGGGGCTGCTCACTGGGGCTGCCCCCTCTGGCTGCACCGCCGCCCCTTTCACCCCCCTCCCCCAACGAGAAGGTTACTCTTCCTGCTGCTGGTTTGCCCATCTGCGAAATGGGTTGATTGGCTCCCTCTCTGCCCCCCCTCCCCAGGCGGTTTGCAGGCGGTAGGTGTTCAGGGAAGGAACAGAGATTAAATGATGGGGCAGAAACTGGGTCCTGTGGTCGTGAACGTCAGGCCCCCCAGTGTCTTTGGGGGGAGAGAGACTGGGCTGTCTTTTTTTCAAAGATTTATTTATACATACAAGAAGGGGTTCAGGCCAGAGGTGTGGGGATTTATTTATACATACAAGAAGGGGTTCAGGCCAGAGGTGTGGGGGGGGGGGTGAGAGGATTCCCCAGAGACAGAGTGGGGAACAGAACAGGCAGATCCACTGAAATCCACTGCTAAGGAGCAGTGGGGAGACTGGAGAGGTCTGCTGCGCCATGTGTGTCACTCCCTGGCCCGGGATGGACTCAGGCTACAGTGATGCAGATAGCTTCGTAGTGCTGAGACATGACCCCTGCGCCCCCAGAGAGCCCCTTCTGGGCTGTCTTTCAGCAGCTTCCACACTCTGCGGCTGCAGAGGGAGGCTGAGTGGACAGCGAGAGGATCCCCAGGGACTCAGCTTCCTGCTCACTCCTCAGGCTGCGGCTTTCTTTCCTCTCCAGGAACTTCAGTCCCAAGGCCATGGTGCCTGTCAAGGCCAGTGGCGGCCCCCACTGCCGGGCAGGGCAGGCTGGGGTTTGTCTCATCATGTGATGCCGGAGCCCGGCTGGAGCTGAAATTGCCAGGTGAGGGGCGGGGGGCCAGGGCAGGGGCCATGGGGGAGTCTGAACGAAGAGGGTGAGAGACTGGGGAAGCCACTCACCCTGACCCCTCCTGGCAGGAGAGATGTCCACCTCTTCTCTGCCCTTTCAAGCCTGGCGTCCACCCTGCAGGAGGAAGTAGGGACAGCGAGGCCTGGCAGGAGTGGGGTCCGGCCAGAAACAGCTGAGTGTCTGGGGCAGGCCCGGAGGCCCAGCGTGGGCCCCACATGGAGGCCAGGGGCTGCGGGCCTGTCCAGGCCTCCTGAGCTGCCTGCTCTGCCCCGGCCCACGTGTGGTGTGTGGCTGTGTTGTTTGTGGTGACAAGCTTTAACAGTTGGGCGGGCTGTGCCGCCTTCTCCAAGCAAAGCCATACGGAGCGCCCTCCAACGCCTCCCCCCAGCACACCCGTCTGTGCCGTCCGGTGCGCAGCACGTAGGACATTCTTGTCCCCGTGGCTATTGTCCATCTGCATGTGTGGCAGCTCTGCGAGTCTTGAGTTCCAGCCCCTGACCTGGGGTCACTTCCGACCACACGGAGACCCCAACCTGCCATGCACACGGGTGCCCCACCCTGTCAATAGCAGTGCCTCCTCTGCTGGCCTCCCAAGACCAGGCTTGCCACCCGGAGTGCCCCCGCCCTCACCAGCCCAGCGAAGGCTTGCAAGCCGCTCTCCACACTGCCCCTCTCCACCCTGGACTGGAGCCTTCACCAGCCCCTCCCCAGCCTCCTCTCCCCCGCTCCCCCAGTGTCCTAATGTGTCCTGCTCAATAAAATGGATCTATTTTTCTCTATAAGGTGTCCCTTTGTCTCTTCTCAGGACTTCTCAGCCCTGGGCGTGACTCAGGGGCGGGTGGGGGGGAAAGCCTGTGGGCACAGGCAGGAGGCACATGTGACATATCCCGGGCTAGACAGCCCTTGGGGCGCTGGGGGCCCCCCGCCCCCCGGGGTGGGGCCTTCTGTCCTTGACCGCACATGATGGGCATGGCATGGAAGTGCGTTGGCTGTGACCGGGGACCTCGCCCGGTCTGATGAGTGAGGAGGGCTAATGGCAACAGGTGCTGGGTTCAGTGCGCGCACAGGCCTTGCTGGCCTCCCACACGCGCACGCACACATGCCCACTCACACGTGCACATGGACCCATCATGCAGAGCACGCATATGCACACATGTGCATTGCTCCCCAAGAGACAGCACCACTCCTAGGCCCCCGAGCCATGGCCAGGACACCCAGCTCGGAACCCCTACCTCCCCTCATCTGGGTCACTGTTCAGAGACAATGTGGCTTCTTTGGGCTCCTAAGACGCGCCCTGGGGAACATGGCCAGTCCCTGGGTTTTGGGTGGATGGCCAGCTCCCGGGAGCAGAGTGGGCAGCCCGCCTTTGTCCTCATGGCCCGAGCCCCAGGGGGCACTCCAGGACCCCAAGCAAGAGGCAGACAGAGGTATAGGCTGACTCCGAGGGGAGCTTCCAGGTTCTTTGCCAAAGATTTTTATTGGGGTTCCCTTCTGCCCATCCTCTTCAGCTGCATTTGTGCATACTCCAGCCTCAGCCTTCAGGAAGAAGTGGGGACGCTGGCTGGCCAGCGGCTCTTCCTCGTGAGGGCTCCAGCCACGGTGACCAGCCGCGCCAGGTCTGTCCCCCGCCCTGGCCGCTGCCCCAAGGCACAGTCAACAGCAGCCCGGAGTGTCCTCATGGTACAGGTCTGCCGGCAGGCAGCTCAGAACACTTGGGTCAGGCGCGGGTTGGCCCTTGTGGGCGGCAGCGCCGGTCGCTCACTTGCAGGAGGCGTAGTAGAGCACGCGCCCATGGATGTGGTCCCGGATCTGCTCCACGCGTCGCTCCAGTCCAGCCAGGTCCGCCGAGCGCAGCAGGATGGCCTGGCTGCCCTGCAGCAACTCCGCCTCCATGTCTGAGGGTACAGGGAGTGGGGGGCGGGGGCAGTGAGACCCCCCAAAGGCTCCTCAGCTCTCCCTACCTGCACCCTCCACTCCCCCAGGAACCTGGCCAGAAGACCTGGGATGTGGGGGTGGAGCGGCCCCCACTCCGGCACACACAGGGTCAGTGCCCAGCCAGAGCCCCTCACCTCTCATTCTGTCCATCATCTGCACAGTCTCCCCGAAGAGCTGCTCTGCCTCTGTCCTCACACTCAGGATGCGGCTGCCCTGCTCCCCCAGCATGGGTGTCCGACTCAGCCGCTCCTTCAGCTGAGTGTACTTGTGCCGGACGCTCGCAAAGCCCTGTGCAGGGAGGACACTCAGGGGCCCCTTTGCCGCTGTCCGGAGCCCGCAAGCCTTGGCTGCAGCACTGGGTTTTGACCAAAGCAATGGGCACGCCTCCTGCCTCCCCTGTGGGCTGGCCCTGCCTCTGCAAACCCTTGGCCACCCACTAGATCTCAGTCTGTTCCGTCTATTTCCCCCTTCCCTCTCCTGCCCTCCCCGCCCCCCTGCAACTATGCCACACTGTTCAGAACCAGCTCGGTGCCTGCCCACCCCAGAAGGGAACTCCTGAGAAGGGTTCTCTGGGCCCTTCTGACCGCGAGGGGCCCAGGCTAGGCAGGTTGAGTGCCGGTGCCACTGAGCCGCGAGGGGCAAGCTTGGGGCCGGTCCCAGGCCTGCTGTTGCAAGCTTCCCAGCACAGGACAGCCGTTGGACCAACTACAAGTCAGCAGAGCAGAATTCAGATGCCCAGCCAAGTTTGGGGTCATCCTGCTGGGGGTTCTGGGGTCATGGTCACCCTCAGTGCCCTCAAGCCAAGATTTCCCACAGTGCCGGCCGGGCCCCCTCTGTACCTCCTGGGCGCTTAGTGCCTGCTGGCTGGCATCCTCCGCCAGCTGCTGGGCCTGGGCAGCCTGTGTCTGCTGAAGCTTGGCCTGGCGGCTCAGCTCCTCCATCCGTGCCTGGAAGCCCCCCAGCTGCTCTATCATGCCAGTCACCAGCCTCTCCGCCGGCCCCAGTACCTGCCGGACCTGTGGGAGAGGGACGCTGGGTTCGCTGTGCCTTCCAGCTCTTTCTCCCCTCAGCAGGCAGCGAGAGAGCTCTAGGACACCCTGCCCCTGCCCCCCATGATCCTGGCTCCCTGCCTCCCTTCCCCAACCCAGCTGAGCCTCGTGCTGTAGCTTCTGCACTGACTACCTGGATGGAAAATCCAAGGTCAAGGTTCGGCCAAACTTGTCACCCCTATGAGCTCAGCCTCTGTCCAGGCCACCTCCTAGCAGCTTCTAGGGCTTGTGGCTGGACTCTCCGCTCATTCCCAAGAAGGGGAGGACCCTGCCCCTCACCTCAGCCACCCTCTCCTGCAGGAGCCGAAGATAGCGGCTGGTGCCCTGCATGGTGTCCTGGGCCTCCTGCAGTGCCCCGGCACCCCGCCGCAGGTCGTCCACCACACCATCCACCTGGCCCTCCACGGCATGGGCGCGGCTCCTGGGCAGAGCGGGAGTCAAGGAACGGGTGGGCTCAGTCCCACCACCCAGCACAGCCCAGCACAGGCAGGAGAAAGTCACTTTCCTGTTGGGACCCCCAGCAGACGTGAGGGACTCGGAAGCCCACAGGGCTTGCGAGGCTAACTGGACTCTGGCTGTCACGTCCCGCAGAGTGACCACAGCACCCCCCACCAACTCCCCTTCACCCCCCGACCCCAGGACCCAGAGCTGCTTCTGCCCCAGCAGTGTGGAGGTCCCGGCAGGAGCAGGTGGCCCAGGCATACCGGGCCTGCTCCGCCTCGGCCTGCAGCTTGCGTGCCCGGGCGATGTCCTGCTTGGTCTGTGACAGCACCAGGTCCACGTTGGGGAGTCTGGCTGCAATGGCCTGCACCTCACTCATCTTCCGCAGGACCGTGGCAGAGTCCGTGGGCAGCCACAGGGCCAGCACCGCCTCGCTCACCTCCTGGATTGAGGTCGCATCCGTAGCAGGGTCTGCAGGACAGCACCTGTGAGTCTGGGGTGCCCAGCCTGGCTGAGCAGCACCTGTGGGGCATAGGCTCTGGCCTCTGCCCAGGGCTGCCTGCCCTCATGGCCACGGGCCCGAGCTCTGTGTGTTGTCGGAGGCCGTGGAGGAGGGCTGTGGGCACAGCTGCAGGCACAGCCGCAGGTACAGCCGCATGTCTGGAGCCACAGCAAGCGGAAGGGTGGAGGAGGGAGGTGGTGCCAGACAGCTGGCCCTGAATTAACTTCCGCACACATGGGCTTGGCTGGGGGCTGCAGGGGCTGGCACTGAGGGCCCTTCCACACTCCCCTCTGCTACCAGAGAGCTCACTTCCCAAAGCAGGGCCAGAGGGTCCTATGCTTGCTCAATGCCTCCTCCTCCTCAGAGCCACCAGCTCTGCCTCCCCTCTGCCAGCTCTCCTCCCTGGCATTGACTGCTACCTGTTGCCCAGCAGTTTGGGCATGTCCCTGCAGCTTTCACAAGACTTCCTGGAGCCCACAACCTTCTTCTGACCCAGAGTGCTACTCTTAGAGTGAGGCTCAAGATGCACTTGCCCCAGAAAGTCTCCCACGTAGGCACTCCAGGTGAGCACTCCCAGGTAAGCATTGTCATGTGAGCACTCCCAGGTGGGCACTCCCAGGTGAGCATTGTCATGTGAGCACTCCCAGGTGAGCACTCCCAGGTGGGACTCCAGGTGAGCACTCCCAGGTAAGCACTCCAGGTGAGCACTCCCAGGTGAGTACTCCCAAGTGAGTACTCCCAGGTGGGCACTCCCAGGTGGGCACTCCAGGTGAGCACTCCCAGGTGAGCATTGTCATGTGAGCACTCCCAGGTTAGCACTCCCAGGTGGGCACTCTGAGATGAGCACTCCAGGTGGGCACTCCCAGGTGAGCACTCCAGGTGATCACTCTCAGGTGAGCATGCCCAGGTGAGCACTCCAGGTGGGCACTCCCAGGTGCCCACACTCCTCACTCTGGCCCTTCCTTTATTCTGCCTGCATCACCGGGCTGCACTACGGGCTCAGTCTGCGTCGGCTCCGTGGCCCTACTCACAGCACAGTGTGTGGGGAGATGGAACTGAGGCCTAACCAGGCCCCAAAGCATGAGGTCTGCAGGACAGACAGGCAGGGGCATGACGGGTGAGCACAGGTGGAAATGGCCACCAGATGAGGAGTGTATGACCAGTCGTGCGGGGCAGGAAGGCTTTCTGGAGATGGGGTTCCAGAGGGTTCTGAGAGACAGGTGGGGAGATGGGGCAGGAGGGCCAATCCAGGGAAGTAAACACATGCAAAGCAAGGAGGTAAGAGAGTGTGCGTGAGCATGTGCAAGTGCATGCAGGAGCAGAGGGTGAGCAAGGAGAAAAGCAGCTGCCCATGTGCCAGGGTGGCCGTTGTGCCTGGATCTCCACCGCCCCAGGCCAGGTGGGCCCCAGCTGTTTGGACCTCCAGGCCGCATGGGGCATCCATGTCTGGAAGTGTGCCGGGGCCGACATAGCCCGCGGGACAGTTGCCCTGACCTCCCGAGTGGCTGGTCCAGGGACACCACCAATGATGCCCACAGGTGACTGCAGCACCCACAGGGCGGTGGAGTCCACTCTGAGGGCAGCAGTGGGGAGGGACCACCAGACTGGGTGCCAGGAACAGCCTCTTGAGGGAGTAGGGCCAGAGCAGCAGCCTGGAGTGGGACTGGGCAGGCGTCCGAGGCGGGCAGCCAGCTCAAGCAGGGGCCAGAGGGCATGGCAGGGAATGGGGGTTCATTTCAGGGACAAGGGAAGGGCTTAAAGGGAGCAGGCTGTGCTCCTGGGCACAGATAGGTCAGTAGGGAGCCCAGTGGGGATCCAGGCGAGTGGAGGGGTGCAGGGTCGGGGAAGGGGACCGTGACAGCGGTGGTGGCTCACCCATGAGGAAGTCCCGAACCTGCTGGATGAGGAGTCGTGAGCGCCTGATGTCCTCCTCCATGCGGGAGCGGCTGGTGCTCACCTGCGTCTCCAGGCGCTGGGCATCAGCCTGGACCTTGGAGGCGGCCTCTTCAGTGGCCCTGACCTGCCCACAGACTGCTGGTCAGCAGCTGCCAGGGCTCTGCAGGCTGCCCCCAGCCCCAGGGGAGTATTTTTCAGTGACCCACTCTGGCCCCAGAACCTGATCAGGTAAAAATCCCAACGCCGGCCCCAAGGCCACCTTCAGGCCTGTGGGCCTGGGCCAGCCCCCTGCTGCCTCTGGCCCCTGCTCCCTGACTGGAAGGTGGGGCGTCCGGGCCTCCCCTCCGCCCCTCCCAGTGCCAGCCCTGGCACCTACCATTAGCCGGGTCTGCTGGAGCTGGGAGCTGAAGCCCTGCAGCTGCTCGGCCACCTGCCCAGCCGTTCGGAAGGCGCCCCCCGCCCTAGGGAGCGCTCCCCTGCAGTGGGGGCCACAGGTCGTGCCGTTGTCTCGGGGACACAGCTCTCCTGGGCATGCTCCTGGGGTGCAGGCCGTCTGCCTGGAGCCCCCACAGAGCTGAGGAGAGATGGAGCATCAGAGGGCACCGCGACTCTTCACCAACCACTCCCAGCCCACACCACAAACCGACAGCCAGAGCTGGTGTCCTTGGCAACCAGGGCGCCTGTGAGAATCCGAGGCCAGACCTGGCCCAGGTCAATGGCAGAGGGGGCGGCTAGGCCACAGGAGGGGCTCGGGCTGCACTCACCCTATTGATGGTGGGTGTCAGGTCTGGCAAGGCAGCCAGCTTCAGTCTCAGGGCTGAGAGCTGGGGGCCAATGGCTCCTCCCGCGCTTCCCGCCTGCCGCCCTAGCGCCTCGGCCTCCCGGCGGCTGTCCCTGAGGCGCAGCAACAGGTGGGTACTGTCGGAGGCCTGCCGCTCGGCCTGGGCCGAGCGCTGGTAGGCTGCGGTCAGCACGCGCAGGGCCCCTGCGGGAAAGCAGAGGGGGCGGGAGGCATTGCACCTGAGGCCCAGGGCAGGACATGGAGGGGCAAGCAGCCTGACCAAGCCCGATCCCCACCTGTAGGGTCAGCGCTGCTGATCCTCTCGAACTGTTCCCGCTTGGTCTGATACAGGACCAGCAAGTGGTTGAAGCTCCTATCCAGATTCTCCAGGTCCCCTGGGAGGGACAAGGTCTCCTCCTCCAGGGGCAGGTCCAGCTGCAGGCCCTGGAGGGTCCGCCTGAGATGGGAGGAGGGCTTTCAGTGGAGACAGAAGGGGCACCCCAAAGCCAGCCAGGCCTTGGAGAAAACGAACTGAGTCAGGGAAAGCAGAGGCTTCAGCAGAGCAGAGCAGAGCAGAGACCACACAGCTGGGGAGCCCCTCTGTGCCCCTGCTGGACAAGACATGGGCCCTCTATCCCCCTGCCGGACAGGGCACAGCCTCTCCATCCCCCTGCTGGACAGGGCATGGCCTCTCAGTCCCCCCACTGGACAAAGCTCAGCCCTCAGCCCCCAAAGGTGGATACATAAACTCCTCCCTTCACTGTGTGACCCTCACATCACAGCCCCTGTTCCCTGCCTCACCAGCTGCCTCCATGACAGGCCTCTCCTGTCCCCTCCTGCCGGCCACAGGCTGGCTTCAGCCAGGACCTGCACCTGCAGGCTCCTGAGTATCCCTTCTTCATCCACACTTGCCCCCTGAGTGCCCACTGCTGCTGTCTCCACCGACTGCCCGGACCCCCGGCCTGTGAGCTCTCAGGGACTCCCTGCCCGGTGCTTTTCCCTATAGTCTGGCCCCACTTCTGGCTGTGGAGCCCCAGGCGAGCACACCAGCTGAAGGCTGTGACTCGACACACCCTCTGGAGACAAGTTGCACCTCTGGGTGGCCGGGGGCACCCACAGCCAGCAGGAGCCCAGGGAAGGCAAACAGATGACAATCTTTCAGAACCACACCCAGTGATTGGCGGTCCCACAGGCAGGAGGGGTGTGGGTGGTCCCACTCCCAGGCCAAGGCCAGTTCTTCGTAGAGTCCCTGCCTCTGGGGGGACCAAGTGCGACTACCCCGGGGCAGACCCAGGCACCTTAAAGGCCCAGGCTGGGCCCTGCCTGTGCTCCAGCAGGTTGGCCCCGCGAGACTGTCCTGTCACCTTGGGCCCGAGCCCTCCCAGGCTTTGCGGGAGCTGCTGGCGGCCCTCGTGCCACTTCTGAGCGCGGGCGGCGGGCACACCTGATGGAGTGGACTGCGTTGGCCACCTGGGCCACCTCCTGCTCTGTGGCGGCGGCATTGCTGAGAACTGCCTGGATCTGCTCCATCTTGCTTTTGGCGTCCAGGATCCTCGAGGCCAGGTCACGGGCGGCCAGGCCTGAATCGAGCCCCAGGCTGGCGGTGACGTTGCGTAGGCCACTGAGGCGCCGGGCCTGGGCCCGCAGGTCAGCATCGTAGGTCTGGAAGCAGGGGTGGCAGGCCACACACACTGGGAAGCGGTCACAGAGGCCACGCTGGCACTGGTCACAGCGGGGCCCAGTCAGGCCCGGACGGCAGAGGCAGCGGCCCGAGGCCTTGTCACAGCCCGGGCCCTCGGTGCCCCGGAAGTCGCAGTCACAGGCTAGGGTGAGAGTTGCGGGCAGGGCAGTCAGGGCAGGTGTCCGGGCCTGAGAGGCAGGGAGGCCAGCTCGAGGGGCCCTGCTGTGGGACTGTGGTGGCCATCCCAGCTGGGAGAGGCCGCGTGACAGCCTGAGCTCCACACTGCGCCGGGCAGGGTCAGGCCCCCATGGCCCAGGCTGTGGGAGTCCCAGAGCTCAGGGCTGGGTGAGGGAATGGGGCCTGCGGCGGGCAGAGCTGGAACTGCACTGGGTCTGCTGCCCCTGGACGTGCCCTCCTGGGCCTGCCCACCCAGGGTGTGGGGGGCAAGGGGTAGCCACCCTGGCAATCCTGGGCCCAGTGCGGGATGTCCTCTGCCCACAACCTGGGGCCCCGGTGATACGCACCTCGACAGCCCACAGCCACGTCTCCGTATGTCCGATCGGGACACTGGTGCACGGCTGCAGCGCTGCATGTCCGGCCATTGAACCCCTCCCGGCAGGGACACTGCCCTGTGAACTGGAGGGGCGAGTGGTGTGAGGACACCATATTTCGGCCCCTGTGGTGGCTGCATCCAGCCTCTGACCAGCAGGCAGCCCTGGGCCCATTGCAGAATGGGGGCCCCCAGAACAGGGGCTCCCCCAAAACCAGCCCGAAGTCAAGACTCAGAGAGGCCCAGCAGCAGGGCCAAAAGCTCAGAGCCACCAAGGGGAGACACTGGTGCCCCTGAAGGGAGGGGCCGCAGGTGACAGCCTGGTTTGGAAAAGGCCCAGGAACACAGCATGGAGGGAGACAGGCCAGAGGGGACCAGACCCTACGCTTACCTGGTGGCACTGGGGGCTGAGGGAGTTCTGGGGGTCACAGGCACATGGCTCGCAGCCCTGGCCGCTGGCCAGCTTCCAGTGGTGTGGGGCGCACTGGTCACACTTGGGGCCCACCACATGTGGCAGACACTGGCATTGGCCGCTCTCCTCATCACAGGGCAGCTCCCGCCGGGATCCCAGGACACTGCAATCACAGCCTGCGGGAGGCAGCGGGCTGAGCCCAGGGGCTGCCCACGCCCCCCACGGATGGGCACCAGGGAGGGGAGGGGCCCGGGTAAGAGCCAGGAAAAGGCTGCCCGCCTTCCACCCGCTCACCCGCTGCTGCCCACTCACCCGCCACCCCCCTACCCGCCGCCCTGCGGCCCCACTCACGGTGGCAGCCCTGTGGGTTGGCATGGGTGAGGCCGGTGAAGCCTGCCTTGCACAGGTCACAGCGCTCCCCCTGCACGTGCTCCTTGCACACACACTGCCCAGTCAGTGGGTCGCAGGGTGCCCCGGGCACCGCCCCGTCGGGATCACACTCACAGGCTGGACATGTGGCAGCCACCACGAGGAACGAAGAGAAGCAGAAGTGTAAGGGCTGGTTCCGGAAGGCAACCCACCTTTGCCCCCAGCTGCTGCCCAGGCCCAGCCTCCAGCCTGCCAGGTGGGCACTGTAGGCACTCGGATGGCAGTGGGGAACATTGGAACCCTGCCACAGGGTCCGACCTTGGGGAGGGCCCTAGGAAGGTACAGGTCTTCTCTGGGGACCCCCGTTGTCCAGCGGGAGTGTGTGTGTGTGTGTGTGTGTGTGTGTGTGTGTGTGAGGACCCTCCAGACTGAGCTCTCTGACCCTGAGCTGCCAGGAAGGCTCCAACCCTGGCAACCCAGAACTGGAATAAGGCTTTGGAAAGCAAATGAATGAATGAGAACACATGATGCTTATTATGGCAGCGCGCGGGTCTTTGCGGGGGAGTCTGGTAGTGTTTTTGTGACCAGGAAGCTGCCGTAAGAACTGGATGCTCGCTTCTGGCCACCAGGCTGCAGTAAGTGTGGTCTCATTGTGCTCCAGCCTCACTTTCCAAGAACGAAGGGAAGCAGGGGTGCAGGGACCCCAACGGGGCAGGCCCCTGGCACAGGAGCCTAGTCTGTCCTTACCATTTGCTGGGCCTCCCACACTGCCCTGAAGCTGGGGAAAAGCCCCCTGTGCAGGCCAGGAGATGGGCCTGGGAGGTGGTCAGGTCCCCGCTGGAGGCCGAGTCCCTGCCGCCTCACTCCTGTCGGCAGAGCCCAGTGGGGACCAGCTTCCCACCCAGGGGCCCTTCCTTCCCGAGCCTCTTTCCTGGGCCCTGCCTCCCTGCGGGTTTCTGTGCCCCACATTGGTGTGTCCATACTGTAACATTCCTCCCGCCTCTGTGTGGCACCCAAGGGGCAGGAAACAGCGGGTGGAGCCCCTGAGGCTGGGGAGAGGACACAGCCCGTCCAGCCGGGCCAGGCCCTCGTGGAAGGCAAGGGCTACGCAGTCAGCCCGCGTACTCACGGATGCAGGCCTCCTGCGGGGGCACGCCAGGGCGTCGGTTGTGGAAGAAGTGCAGGCGGCAGCGCTCACAGTGCTGGCCCTCCGTGTGGTGCCGGCAATTGTCACACACGCCCCCATGGGCACCCTGGCTGGCCGCGAACACAGCGGGGTCAAAGTGGCAGGTCTCTGAGTGCCCGTTGCAGTCACAGCCTAAAAGGGAGGGCAAGGACAGCAGTCTCAGGGCCCTGTCGCCTGCCGCCCGCGCTGCTGGCCCAGGGTCCGGACAGCTGCCGACTGCAGGCCACGCAAGGGGAGACCCCAAGAGGAGCGTCTTGTGGGATGGAAGCTGGGGCCACGGGGGCTGCCCCAAGGCCAGGGCTTGACAAGGAGGGGACAGCAGACAGCCTGGCATGGGTGCTAGAGGTAGGCCTGCACTCCACCTAGCTGGCAAGGACAGCCCGAAGCAACTCAGTGGGGTCTAGACATAAATGACTGAGACTAGCCCTCCCAGGCAGTATGGAAGAGGTCAGAATCTGGAGGGGGTCTGGGGAGGAACTCACGCTGGCATGTGTGGGGGTCCTGGTCGTCCGCTGGTCTCCAGGGCCGGTCGTTGTAGAGGGGGGCACAGCGCTCACAGTGGGGCCCAGCCGTGTTGTGCTGGCAGACGCAGACGTCAGGCACCTGGGACCGGGCAGTGGTCAGCGGGGAACACCCTCGTTGAGGGGGCCTGCTCGGCCCAGCGCCCCGCCCTAGTAGCTCTGTGACCCGCCAGTGGGCGGCGGGTCACCGGGTGTGAGTGTGCATGGCATGTGAGAGAACATATGTGTGTGTATGAGTGTGTGTGAGTGCATGCTTTGTGAGTGTGTAAGTGTGTGTGCCACCACACGACACCTAAAGCTCCTTCCTTGCACCTGGACCCTGAGATGCCCAAGTCCAGGAGGCTCTTGCTTGTTAACAGTTGGTTCCAGAAGCTTCTGGGCCCTCTGGAGGCCCCATCCCAGGCCTTGTGCTGGCGGCTGGGCTGAGGGCCTGCAAGGAGCCGGCACCAGCCTCCAGGCATGACATAGGTGCCCATACAGCAGTCTGGGGCCACCGTTCCTCACAAGAGCCACCCCCTGCCGTGCCTGCCAGTGTGACAACGTGATCCCCATGGGCTCCCTTCTCTCACCACCAGCAGAGCACAGGACAGGGTGGAGGTGTGGGGGCGGGGGGACTGCTCCTGCTCCACCAGGCTCAGGACTCTCAGCCCTGTATGCACCTTGATCATCTGCAGAGCTTTTAAAAATTATCAACACCCAACCCAGCCCACCCCAAATCTCAAGGACACCACCCCATAACGCAGTGACCAGCGTACAGCCTGCCCTGAGGGGCCCCAGGCTGGGAGGCCCTCCCTCTGCACCCCCATTCTCCTCAAGCCAGAGGCTTCTTGACCAAGCTTTGCTCTTTGCCATGGCTTGAGCATCACACAGTTCAGGGTACCCCTTTGTCCTGCCTCCCCTGCTGTTGCTTTCCCAGCAAGAGTCAGGCCCTCGTGGGGCTGGGGTCTTGCACACACCTGCTGTGCCCCACTCATCCTGGGACCTGGTGGCTGTGCCCGACTCCTTGCCACCAGGTGGGACTCCGAGTCTGCAGCAAGGTGCTCGCCTGGGGCTCGGGTGCCTGGAGCTTTGGGAACCCATGGCAGGGTCACCTGACAGGGTGGGTGGAGGCCTGGCCATAGGGACCCCTCACCAAACTCGCAGGGACCGAGAACAAGGAGCTTCCCAAGGAGTGGGCTAAGGTATGAGTCCTCCTGCCCACAGGGAAGGCCCACCCTGCCCTGGACGGCTGCGTGCCCGCCCTCCTGGGGCCAGCGGTCACCTGCACGCCTGTGGGGGCTCCGGGCTGGGGCACACAGCGGGCGGCGTGGCCATGGCAGAAGCAGCTGCCCTGTAGGCGCAGCTGGGAGATGGCATAGTAGGTGCTGGGCGGGTGGCGGCCACTCTGGGGCATGGGGCCCAGTCCCGTGAGGTTGACTCTCAGGTTGGTGATGGTCCCCAGCTCTGCAAGGGCACAGGAGGGAGGGGTGAGGGGAGGTCAGGATGGCTGCAGATGCCCCAGGGTCCCCACAAGGCAAAGACCCCTGCCTGGGACTGCAGGGCCTATGCTCCGGCCCCTCCCCAGCACCCCGCCCGGCGGCCACACACACCTTGAATCTTTTGGCTGCGAGTTGCTGAAATCCCCGAGGCTAAGTCCATCAGGTTGAGCTGGACCTGCAGGGGTTCAGGGGACAAGTTCCTTAGCTGGGCTCAGAGGCTTCCCTTCATGTGAGGCCCTCAGCAGGCACCTGGGATGATCCAGCCGCCGCCCTGGGAAGCCAGATGCCCTCGTAACCCTAAGCTCGCACAGGTGCGCACATAACATCTCCTGGGCATTGCAAACACAGAGATGGAATTTCCTGGCCAGAGTCGCAGAGCACGTAGCACATGCGCCCGAGGAAGGGACTGATTTTCCAAAGATCTGAGAGGAATAAACAGCCAGGACCACGAGGCAGAGGGGCCAGCACCTCTAGACCCTGGTTTTCCTGCGTGGCCCAGGAGCGCTTCCCTGTCGGCCTCCACACATGGCAGAGGGCCTGCCTTCCGGGCTGGGGTCTTCAGAACATGGTGAACACAGATCTAGGGGTGGCAAAACCCAGGACACAGGGACCCCCAGCCCTGCAGGAAGGGCAGTCTGCAGGAGAGCAGACAGACAGCAGCAGCCCGTGGGGTCAGGAGGCACGGTCATGGGGGAAGAGGGATTCCCAGGTAGGGAGGCTGGGCAGACAGTGGCCCGAGGACAGCCTGCTGGGTGGGTTCATGGCACCAAGGCTGCACCAGACTAGTAGGATCCATGTCATTGCCTCCTGGACCCTGTGGGCAGTCACGTCCCCAAGGGGCGCTGTGGGCTGACCTCCCTGTGGGAGAGCTTGGAGAGAGGCTGGGAGGAGAGCCGGGCCAGCCCGGAGTCCCCAGCACACTCCCGAGGCTGAGGCCTTTACCAGAGACAGGGAGCGGCAGGGGGCCTAGCCTAGGGTGTCCTGGGGCTGCCTGGGCGACTGGAGAAAACGGGTGGTCAGGGCCCTCCCCATGCAGCCCTTTCGTATCCCTGTACCTACCTGACCGCCATCGGGCCTCCTGAGAGGCCTCTGGGGCAGGGAGCGGCAGCGGACGTCCTGCCAGCCCCGCGGCTGGCCCTGCGGCACCCTCGGGAAGGCGGAGGCACAGTCGGCCGCCAGGAAGCAATACACCTGCCAGCTCTGGCCGAAGTCAGAGGAGCGCTCGATCAGCATGGCCGCTGGCATGGGCCCCTGTGGACAGGAGGGCCTGAGTGACTCAGGGATACGCCACAGGGCAAAGGAGGGGTGGGCAGCCCCCAGAGCCACAGTGAGGGCAGGAGGGGCACAGGGTGGGCAAAGACTGGCTCTGGGGTTTCCCGGGAGCAGTGGCGAGTACACACAGGAGGCCTGTTCTGGAGGTGTGACCCGACTTGGCCCAGCCCCAGCACCCAGGCCTGAAACCCCACCCACCGCACAGCCCAGGCAGCATGTTTGTGCCCTCAGGCCCTCACTGGGCCATGCTTGTAGCTCAGGCCCCAGTCACGCTGAGCTGGGACCCCTGCCCAGGGCCAGCCCGACAGGCCCACAGCTCAGATGCTATCCTGAATGCCTGTGTCATAGTGCCATGTACCACCAAGACCTGCAGTAGCTGGATGCTGCCTCTGTGGCATCCCACCCTCCCTTGAGATTTCATCTCTTCAACATTGCCCTTAAGGTCCCCGCTTAGACCAGGGCCTGAGCATGAGCTCAGCTGTTTGAGATTCCTCATGAGGGAGATGCTCTCTGGCTTATACTGCCCAGCAGAATGCGCTCAAGGTTCAGCCTTTGTCTCAAATGGCAGCATCTCCTTTGTCATGTCTGCGTGATATTCCACAGCGCCATCTACATCTTTGTCAACCATTTGTCCATCAGCAGATACTCAGCCACGTCCCCTGATCTGAGCCCTGCCTTTATGAACACAGGGGTACGGATCTCTTTGAAAATTTCATTTCATTTCCTTCAGACACAAACTCAAAAGCAGAATGACATGAGCTATTTCTAACTCTCTGAGGCGCCTCCATCCTGATTTCCATGGTGACCACAGCAGCCTTCATCCCCGGCAGCCACACTCAGGGCTCCCTTTCCTCAGCTCCTCGCCAGTCTGCAGGCTCCCTCCTCTAGAGGATACCCTTCTTGTGGGCATAGCTCCCTGTGGGTTGGTGGCCCTTCCCCGTGACCATGAATCTGGGCACCGTCTCCTGGGCCATAGGATCTGCTTCTGGGATGTCCCACTGTTCCTGCCGCCTGCGCCTCGTCTCAGCCCTTGTGCAATGCATCTTCCTCCTGCCGCGTGTGTCCTGCCACTGGTGGACCCTCTTGTCCAGTGTCTTCATTTTGAATGTCACCTCCTCTGGGAGCCCACCCCTTGCACATGTCCCCACCATGGCTATCGCGCTCTTAGCTCCTACTCCTCACTGTCCCCAGACCCAACTCAACGCCCCCAGGACGCTGCCTGGCCGTGGCCTGTCTCAGCAGGTGACGGTCAGTGCACCCCTGGCCACTACCAGAGACCACCAAGCTGTCTCCAGAAACTGCCAAACACCCCAAGGGAGGACCTGCCATGGATCCAGCCCCGCTGCCCTGGGCGCCCGGCTCCCTGCCCTCAGGCATGTGTCTGTGGGCTAAGGTACGTCTCGGTCAGTTTGCAGCTCTCCAGGCCCGTCCCTCATGGTAGGGCCTGCCTCCCTGGGCCTGTGCCCCACCCAGCGCAGTGGCCTGCAGCTGCCGCCTCTGCCCTCTGGCCTGCTTCCTGCCTGGAAGGGCCTCTCCTGGCTCTGGCTGCCTAGGCCTGTCCATCCCCCAGTGCATGCTCTGATGCACCCCCCAACCAGACACTCCCTTTCTGCCCCCCGCTGCTTCTCCCTCAGCCCATGCCTGGCACCCCCCACAGCTGCCATGTACTGCATGCTGGCCCCAGCCAATAGCGGGCACTGACCAGCAGGTTGGGTGGGGTGTGGAGGAAGAGGTGCCGGCCCCACTGGGCAGAAACATGAGCCACTGCTGGCCTCCAGGAGAGACCGCCACACCTCCACGACGCAGGCTCAGGGCAAGCAGTGCCCCCCTGGAGACATGGCCGGTCCCCCCAGGAAACTCACCTTAAAATCCATCACGATGCCTTGAAGCTGGAATCGCCGGTCCAGGTCCAGCTGCAGAGAGACGGGGCTCACGCCTGGAAGGTCAGAGTGGGGTGTTAGACAGCTGCCCCCTACCCCCAGCCCTGGCCAAGTCTCTGACTGGAGTGGCTGGGTGAGGCCAGGACTCCTGCCTGGTGTCTGGCCGCCCTGGGGGGCAGGGATGGGAGCGCCCACTGGTCCCACCTCCTCAAAACCCAACCTACGCTCTGCCAGGGTCCTGCCAACATCACTTGGTGCCCCCGAACCTTGGGGGATTCCACCGTCTGCCCCCAAGCTGAATCCTTCTGCCGCTCTCTGTGACGTGGTGAAACAGAGTACCCCTCCCACCTCCCGCCTCCTGGCTCAGCCTGGAGACCCAGCTCAGCCTTGGGGAGCCACCCGTCACCCCCCGCTGGGGCACCTGGGGGCTCACCATTCTGGGACTGCCACCAGCGTGCGGGGCCTGAGGTGGCCGCCACATTCTCCACCCTGTGGCTGTTGTAACCTTGAGGCAGGCGGGAGTCACATTTGCAGCATTTCAACTGCCACTGCAGGGAGGACAGCACTCAGACGGCGGCTCCCGCCCTCTCACACCGTGAGCCCACTGAGGGCCCGGGGCCGCCCCAAGGCCACTCGTCCTCCCGCCTGGCCCCGTCCAGCCCTGTCCAGCCCATACAGATCAGCCAGCAGCAGTGACGCTGTCACTGAAGAGGAGGCGGCAGGAACGATGACCTGGCGTGGATGCGTCCAGAGCCATGAAGAGAGCGCATGCACACAGCAGGAGGGGCAGCGTCTGCCATGAGGGGTGCAGGCGGCTACCGCACCAGCCCTGTGGGCACCTGGTCCGCTGGGGTGCAGCACGGGATGGGGCGCTATGGTCCCAGCCCTACCCACCACCGGCTTTCCAGGAGCCGTTTCCCTCTGAGCCATTCGCTCACTCAGCAAAGAGCGGCTTCAGCCCTGCTGCAGCTGGGGCCAGGAGGAGTGGCTCCCCAGCATGTCCGGGGGCTCCCTCGCCCACAGCTCCAGACGGCAGGGTCCTCCTGGTCTGTCCTGGGGGAGGGCAGCCTGGGCCCCTAACCTCAGAGGGCTCGGTGGGCAGCGGTGCCCTCCAGGACAGCTGAGGGGAGAGGGCTCCCCTGGAAGCTCTGGGCCTGGAATGGAACAGCCTTGCTGGAGATACCCCCCCAAAACTACCTGTTCCCTGCCCTCCCCATGCCCTGGAATGAGACAGGCACCGAAGAGAAGCCCCGTGACACACACCCCGACCCGCTCCCGGGACCAGGTGGGCAGACGTGGTGGTTAAGGTGATCTCTGTCATCCAAGGGTGTGGTGAGACCCCAGAGCTGCCAGGGCCTTGGGGGCGGCTCTAGGGGCAGCAGGTTCTGGTGCCCACAGGGCTGCTCAGCGGTTCAGGCACCCTGGCCGGCAGGAGCAATCCCGCCCTGATGGCTGCAGGTCCTATGTCAGTCCTGGCAGGCAGCACCAAAAGGGATGGCTCCAGGTCCCTTCTCCCGCTCTGCCCAGCGCACGGGCAATCTTTTCCACTTGGGTGCTCTGCCCACACTGGCACTGCCCCTGCAGGAGAGAGTGCTGTCCCCAGGCCCAGCTCTGCCAGCCAGGCCTGTCCCCTGCTCAGAGGCCAGAAGCTGGCCATCTATCTGCTGGCCATGGAGCCAGCACCCACAACACGGGGGTGACATGCCCTTGCCGGTTGCAAACCCTGGAAACTTATAGATGAGAAAGCGCCTCCAGAGGGCGCCGTTGGTGGTGTGGGAGGCACCACACTGACAGGCTGTTGGGCGGACAGCTGGGCCTGCTCCCTGGTGCAGGCTGTTGAACAGACTTGCCATGGGGTGGGGGCGGCCAGAGGGGAGGCAGCTGGGTCTGGGCATGATGTCGACCCAGCATGATGTCGACCCAGAGCCTCGAGGTGATGGACGGCTGGGATCCTTCTCTGGTGACCCGTTGGTCCTGGCGTATCTCAGTCCCTGGGCCAGTGTTTCAAGTGGCTGCTTGTCAGGCGGCAGATGGGCCCTTGCCACTCCATTCCTATGGGCCTCAGTTCCCCTATTCACACCTATGTGTAGGGCACATAGGGATGTGGCGTGTGTGTGTCCGTGTGTGTCTGTCCACACGTGTGTGTGTCCGCGTGTATGTCTGTCTGTGTGTGGGTCTGTCCATGTGTGGTGTGTGTCTGTGTGTGTGTCCACGTGTGTGTCTGTTTGTGTATGTGTCAGTGTGTGGTGTCTGTTCATGTATGTGTCCGTGTGTGTCTCTTCGTGTGTGTGTCCGTCCATGTGTGTGTCTGTCTGCGTGGGGTGTGTGTGACCCTCAGAGGAGGCCGCCCCCTGTGTGGTACGTGAGTCCATCTCTCCAGAGAGGGAGGAGGTGGATGTGGTGGGGCTCCCTGTGGCCTCTGCGACCGGCCTGTTATCAGTCCAGCCTGCCAGACCTCCAGCCAGTCTGGCTCCTGCTTGCTCCCCATCTGGACAGACTGGGCTCCTTCCCTTGCCCTGGAACGTTCTAGAATAGCTCAGAAGTCTGGCAAGCAGACAAGCCTACAGCGAACTGGGAGGGCAGGGAGACGTGCCAGCAGGAGCGGGGTCAACCAGGGCGGACAAGCAATGCCCTGTGGGGAGCAGGCTGACCTGGGGCAGAAGGCTGACCTCCCCTGCCTCCTGCATGCTCACCAGGGCGCCTGCGCCTCCAAGCAGTGCCCTGGGGCCGTGGCTGCCAGCCAGGGCAGAGGGAAGGAAGCCCAAGACACAGCCAGGGCGGCGGAGACTGTCCCCACCCACGCTGCTGGCCAGAGCAGGAGCAGAAGCTGAGTTGCCTCTGGCTCACAAACATGATGCAGGTGCCACCATGCCCACCTCCTCCTGCGCCCCCCTCCAGCCAGGCACTCAGGAGCCCAGTGAGCAGAAGCAGAGGAAGTGGAGGAGGACGAAACCTGACCTGAGTCGGCTTGTGATGGGCACTGTCTTCCCAGCCAGGGCAGGAGGAGGAGCTCTCTCTCTGCAGGCCCTGGCCAGATAGACCCCCTGGCCAGGCCCCCACAGTCCCAGAGAGGCCCCCTGGAGCGCGCCAGCCTGCCTCCCTGGACTGAAACACGCCCCCAGGGTCTGTCCCTCCTCTCACACCTCCCCTTCCCCAAATGCCACCTCCTACGTCCTCACCAGCAAACCCTTCCTCAGGTCTGGGCAGCTGATAACAGATGAATGTGTTCCTTCCTCAAGGGGTCTCTGTTGGGAGCTGCCCCAAGCCCCCAAAGCAGGAGCCCTGGCAGGTTCCGACCTGCTGGGCAGACTCGGGAGTCAGCTGCCCGGACCCCATGGGGCAGGGTGTCAGGACACAACCCCACAGGCCAAGAATAGGTCGTGGAGTACGCATGTGTGTCGGGGGTGGGGACCCCAGCTGGCTGCAGCTCCTGTCTTGTTTGCAAGAGAGGAAGGCCAGCTGCTGAGTCTGCACAGCCAGTTGACCTGAGAGTGCTCCAGACGTCTCCTAAGGAAGCTGCTAATTAAGTTTCCCTAAAAAGGGGGGCACAGGGTAGAGACGCATTAAGGGGCAGACACCGCCTCAGAGACCGTGTCGGGGGAGAAATGAGGGCTGGAAAGTCCAGCCAAAGCCCACTGACTGCTGAGGGCTGCCCCAGCTCAAGATGGCCAAAGGCGGGTCAGCCTTTCCTGGCCGTCCTGCTGCCTGCCTGCCTGGGGGACCCCAGCCCCTCGTGGGGCTCTCCCCTGCCCAACACAGGGAAGCAGGCACAGGAGCCAGAGGTGAGCACAAGGCAAAGGCGATGGGCTCCCCCGACGAGAACAGGAACAGGGGCGAGGACCTTCCAGTCGGGTCCTTCTTGCAAGTCAGGGATGGGGCGGGGGCGGAGGACTCACACCCAGGACACTTTGCTCACCCCAGCCCAGCTCAGCCCCTGCAGCCCGATTGGTCAGCCGCTGGCCAGCGGGAGCAGGACGGGCCTTCTGGTCAGGAGTAGCCATCAAGCATGGTCTGGGGCGGGCCCTCGCAGGCAGGTGGCCAGGGGATGGGCAGGGGAGCAAGCAGGGGCACAGGATGGGCAGCACAGGCCTCCGCCAGCTCAGGCCGGCCTTTCCCAGTTCCTATGCCTAAAACAGCAGCTGGAGAAGTTGGTGCTGGTGTTGCTCCCACTTTTCAGAGGAGCAGTGAACTCAGGGAGGCCCAGGACAAGGGGGTGTGGAGGCCACAGGGACGTCTCATCCAGGCCCGGGGCTGCCCAGGACAGCGGCCACAGGCATATCCACAGGAGACTGGGAGCTGGAAGAGGAGCGGCCTGCAGGCCTACAGGCCTTGGGTGCTCTGGGGAAGAGCCTGGAAGGACAGTGAAAGGAGATGCCCCAGGCAGGGGGAATGCAAAGCTGGTAGCCCAGTGTCCATTGCAAGGGTCACAGAGGACCCAAAGCCCACGAGGCCAGTCCCTGGGTGGCTAGGATTGAGCAGGCAGCAGAATCAGGCACCAGAGCAACCTGCCCTGAGTGCCCACTGTTCCTACTCCTCCATTCTGCAGAGCCTGCCGTGCGGGTGAATGGAGCCGAGGGTCCCGCTGCCCAGGTCAGGCCACATGGACATGAGCAGGGCAGGGGATGGCGGGCCAGGGCTCCTGGGTCCGAAATGGAGCAAAGGCCCGAGGTCAGTGCCGCCTCTTGCTGCCCTCAGGCCCCGCTGTCTGTCACCCACCCCGTCCAGCTCCCCAGTGTCCACCAGGACTCACCCACCCTCCCAGTAACTCTGGGGCCACTTCCGTGGGTGCTGAGCAGGGATGAGATGGTTTACGGAGGACTCTTAGCACAAAGCCGGACCCCCAGGGGGCTCAGCCTGGAGGAGGGTCTGCTTCAACGGTGACGTGACCCCAAAGCTGGAACCCGGCTACCCTAAAACCCAAACTCTTAGTTTTCATCACAGACAACCAGGGTGCAGTGGGACCAGCGGACTCGGGCCCTTAGCTTAGGTGCTGTGCGGACAGGCCAGGGAGAGGAGGCCCCGCCAGGAGGATTGGCACTAGAGCAGCCCTCAGACCACCCACAGGACCCTTCCTGTCCTCCCTCCCCTCCCACCAAGGAGAGGAGGGGCGGGCCAGTGGTCCTGGCTGCCACTGCCCTCGCAATGTCCTGTCCTCTGCTTTTCCCACGCCACTGAGATTTATTTCCCCTTCTAGAAAATGAAAAGAGAGCCAAAATTCTCAGCTTTTATAGTCCCAAATAGCTGAGTGTATCCATCCCCCAGGGTTGCAAAAGTCTAGACTTCCCTTTCACAAGCACACTGTCAGGGCCAGCAGAGGGAGGTGGCCCTGGCACAGCTCAGAGAGGCTGGGACAGGTCCAAAGGGACAGGTGTCCAGATGGGGCCAGGCAAGGGGCCAGTGCCCGAGCCCGCGGAACGTCCTCACCGCCCCCAGGAAGGCAGGTCAGCCACAGAAAGGGAGTCAGCAGAGGGTCCTGGACTTTTAGACAAGGCTCGGGCCCAGATTTTGAGGGCGAGCGGTCAGGGCCTGCTGGACCCAGTCTGCTGCCTAGAAAGCTGGTGACAGCGGAGCCATCGGGCCCAGGGGAGGGGTTGCCTGATGCCTCAGTCTTACCCAACCCTGTCAAGTGGCGCTCCCTAATCCAAGTGGGTGACGGGGGGCATGGCTGCCCGGGCTCATGCCCCAACCAGTGCCCGGGACCAGTTTGGTCAAGAGTGGCCAAGGGGACACGGGTTCTGGGGGCACAGAGACCGGGGTACTGGAGAGTGGCAGCCCCAAGAACGAGACCGCCTGGGACGGGGAGACATCTGCAGGCCCTGGTTTCCCTTATGCCCAGCACCCACTCCCTGCCCCGCCCCTGGCCCCTGGCCCTGCCCTTCCTTTCCCTCCCTTCCCTCTTTCAGTGTCTGTCTCTGCGTCTCTCTCTCTCTCCTGTCCATCTCCATCTCCCTGTACAGCACTTGCTCCCTCTCTCTCTCTTTCCCTATTTCTCTGTCTCTCTGGCTCCCTTTCTCATTCCCTCTTCCCCGAAAGTCTACAAAGATGCGGTTCAGAGGCCAGCCCCCTCCAGTTCCTCTGTCCAGGCCCATGTCCAGTGTAGAGAAAGGGCGCATGGGACGTGAGGAAACATGGACTGCTCAGGCTCAGAGAAGGGGAGGGGGACGAAGCCAGACCCCAAGCCCGTGGACAGAAGGAAAAAGAAATTGCAGGCCCTGCCCCAGGTCTGGGCCCAGAGGGAGGGCCCCAGGTCCTGGGCAGGAGCTCCCAGGCAGCAGCCTCAGGCAGGCCCAGGGTCCCTGCAGGCTCCACATGGGGGCGGCTGAGCCCCAGCCCCAGTCCCTCGTCCTGTGCCCTTCCCCATGTGCTCGGCCCTTGCCTGGGCTGGGCAAGTCTCCCACAGGGGCAGCAGGGTGCTGGGCCCCTCCAGACCAAGTACCCTCAAGATGCGCTCCAGCTGTCCTCAGCCTGTCCACGTCTATCCCAAAGAGGCGATGGCCATTGGACCGCAGGGATCTGTCCCATGAGAACACGCCCGGTGCTCAGCCCAGGGTGCTCACCCCAGCTCCTACCCCAGCTCCCGGCGCTCACCCCACCTCCCGGCGCCAGCCTGGGCTTGGTCCTCCAAGGACCCCCTCAAAGAGCCACAGGGACCTGCCAGCCTCTCCCCAAGACTTGAGGAAGATGTTGCTGCCCCTACGTGGGAGGCGGGAGACTCTGCCCCCACAAGCCAGAGGGGAGGCGCCGACCAGCCTGGCCAGGGGAGGGCACTCCTTGGGGCACAGGGGCCTCACCCTCTCATTCCACCTCACGCAGCCCACTCTGCAAGCACACCAGAATGAGCAGGACCTACCTCCCCATACTGGGTGCAGTAGGTCTCGGGCTTGGTCATCCCGCAGGTGGATGAGGCATGAAGCGAGTGGGTCCTCCCAACGAGCAGGTCCCCTGCGGGCGGGTAGCAGGCCCCACGGGAACAGGCTTGCTGGGTGCCCCAGACGCCAGGCAGCACTGGAATGACAGCGGCAGTCGTCACAGCCCCAGGGTGGGCAGGCTGTCCCGGCACCCCAGGAGGGCTGACCCCAGAGGCTGGGCCCTGCCCCCACTCAGGCTCCGCCAGCTATGGGCCCATGGCCTGATGCAGGGTGAGCTGCCGGCTTCATGCTCTGCACCCCAGCAGTAAGGGGAGACAACCCACAGCACCTGGCAGAGGGTCCCAGGCTGACCACCTCCTTCTGCCCCGGGCTGGCCACATGGGCCCAGGCCCCGCTCTGACTCTCAGGGAATGGAGAGCCAAAGCCGGGCACAGCATGAGGCGGCGGCGGGGTGGTGGGGGGAACGGGTGCAGCGGCAGGGTGCGCCCTGCAGACTCCAGGGGCCTTGGACATCCCGGGACACTGCAATGCTCTTAGGGGAGGCTGGAGTCAAGATCCCAAAGGGGCAGGGTAGCTAGTGAGGTCCCGGGGGTCGGGGTTCCAGGCCCAGACCACAGGCTGCGGCCGCAGCCCTCCCTGCCGCTGAGGGCCAGGGCCAGGGTGGGGGGACACTTACTCATGCACAGGAGCAGGAGCGACCACATCCTCAGCAGCAGGGCGACCCCAGAGAGGCCTCACCTGGGGGCAGAGCAGATGGTAAAGCGGCCCCGTCTGGGGTGCTGGCTCTTGGCCTCTGCATCTGGACCCTGCATGCTCAGAGTCCTTGTGAGGGTCGTGACCTGGTCACTGCTGAGCAGCAGGTGCACTCGCAGCCAATGCTTGAAAAACGCCAGGCTGGACTGTGACTCACACAGTGCAGAGGACAGGCAGGGAGCAGGGTGGGGGCAGCAGCAGGGGAGCTGGGGAGCCCAAGGCCTTATTGCCCCCCAACAAGGGGCCTGTCCTCTCTCAGTGCTGGCCCAGCGGCCAAGGCCAGGCCAGTGGGGGACGCCGATGCTGGGCTGCCTGGGAGAAGCTGGTCTGGCTGTCTTTGAGAAGTAAGTGGGGATTCCTTCCAGAAACAACCCAAAATGTCTCCAAAGATGGGCGGGGTAGAGGAACGGGCTGGAGGTCAGGGCCGGTACTCAGAGGCTGGGATTGGCAGGGTCGGAGAGGCAGTGCCCTCCCGGCCCTGGCCCAGACCTTCACTGCTCCTGCGGTAGCCGCCAGCCCTGGCTGGGTGAATGACGGTGGGGGAACAGGCCGCCTGGCACTTCACTCTGACATCCTAATGCTCCAGAGGGCTGGGGGAGGGGTCACGGAGCTGCAGGGCCTCAGAGACAGGCCCCAGCCCTGGTTCTCATCCCCACTACCTCTGGCCCCCCCATGCTGGCGCCCTCCCATTTCTCTTTGTGCGGGCCCCAGGTCCCAGGTCCCAGCAGGCTTCGCTCCCCAGCTCTGAGCCTCTTATCAGATGTGGGAAAGCAACGCAAACACCACAGCTGGCGGGCGCCCAGCCCGGCCAGGCCCGTGGGAGCTCGCCGGAAGGAGGACCTGGAGGGGCCCTGCCCGGCCCAGACCCCGCAGAAAGCCCAAGGTCATGCAGCAGCCGGCCAGGTCCTACCTTGCTCTGAGGGCTGCTCTTCTCTCTCCCCTGGGATTGAGGGGCACCCTCCTGGCTCCAGTTTTTAAACAACAGCCTCACCTCTGAGACTCCCCAGCGGGGCGTTGCCCACAGCAGGGCGGGCCCCAGGAATCTGGCCGCCAGCACGCCCATCTCCGTCACCACACCCCCACCCCAGGACAGGATGGGGCAGGTGGGTCCCCGGTCCACAGGGAGCTCAGCACCCCCCGTCCCTGCCTACCTGTGGGCACGGGGTGTGGGTGCTGCAGAGAGCACTGGGCGGTGATGGCTGGAGACTAGGCTCCTGGCGGGGCTCCCCTGCTGGGCGGGCATTGCACCGGGCGTCTGACTGGCCCCAGGGGTCCGCTGCCCCTGCACTGGGCCGGCTGGCCGGGGTGTACACAGGCATCATGGCCTTTGCCCTGCACTAGCCAGGGACAAGAAGTCCTGGCCACCCAGGACCCCGGAAAGCACCAGACCCCTCCCAGGACAAGCCAACTGTGGAAACCCCCACGCCCCCACTTCCTGGGGAGTTTGGAACAGGAAGAGGCCACAGCCCAGCACACCAAGGAGGCTTAAGAGGAAAAGCAGGAATGAGCCCCAGATGCCGCCTCCAGTTGGTGTGGCTTGGCAGGGAGCCCCAGGACAGGTAACTGCCTGTGAGTCACTGCCCCTCCCCTGGGCAGAAATACCTGCCTGCAGGCCCAGAGCAGGCCTGACCACAGGGGAGGGAGAGCTGAAGCTAACAGGACCCACACCCCCAGCCCCCCCCACCCCGGCTGCCGATCACAGCCTCCGTGGCCCGGTGGGCTCCTGGCTGGGGCCATGGGGCTGACGCTGCCTCCTGTGGTCCCAGGCGCAGATGGAGAGGTGGCACCATGGACGCGGTCCCAGTGGGGTGACAGGGCTCTCCAAGGGATCCAAAGGTCTCCCCCCAGATGTGGGCCTGGGCGGCCGCACCGCCCAACACTGGATGCAGCTGCCTTGGAGTTCCTATTTCAAGGAGACTCACGTCTTCCATGGGCCTCCCGAGCCGGGATGCAGGAAACCCTGACAGGGGCAGGGCCAGGACACTGGCTCGAAGGGTCTAGGCGAGAGGAACGTTGGGGGATGCTGCCCAATTCCGGGTTCTTTGGATGAACCTGGAATTCCTAACCTAATTTAGCACACAGAGCGGCAGCGGGGACAGCAGGTGCAGAGAGAAATGGCCCCTGCCAAGCGTCGGGAGTCCTGACCTGCCCCCTCCATGACCCCAACTCAGGGCAGCACAATGGAGGATGCCTCTGACATGGGTTCCCAGCCATGGCCAGCCCCCCTCCACTTCTCTACCTTCCCAGACCACAGTACCTTCCTGGGACCACCAGGGACCACCACCCCAAAGAGGACGGGCCCAAGTCTCCTGTGGTCAGCTCCCAGAGGGCCGGGGCTGCATGCCAGAGCTCCGAGAGGGTAGTGTAGTGGGACCTCCCTGAGGGGCTGGCCCTTCAAACACCCCCTGACAGCCCTGCAGCCCTGGAGCCCAGGAGCCCCGGAGCCCCAGGGCCTAGGCAATCGCCAGGGGCCTCACACTGTGTGGGCTGGGCCCAGCCCAGAGGGCAGTGGCAGTTTGGGCCCTGCCTCTCGCTGCAGGCCTTTGTTCTGCTGCCTTGAGAGCAGCTCAGCATTCCCCGTCACCCCCCTCCCAACCTCAGTGCTGGGCCACCTGTGACATAATGTGGGCCTCCAGGGTAGGCCCAACTTCAGAGCCCAATTTGTTGACCCAGGAAGCCTAAGCGAGCCAGAGGCTGGGTCAGGGCCAGCCAGGGTAGACAGGGCCCCCTGCTGCTCTCTCAAAGACCCTCAGACCTCAGCACCCTCAACGCTTGGCTCATTTGAACTCCCGTCTGGAAAGGGCTGGCCAAGTCTGGCTGGGCTTGTGGCACCGCCACGTCAGCCCATCAGGACGCAGCGGGACGCCGTTCCAGGGGCACTGGGGCTGTCCTCTAGTCTGCGCCTCTCTGCTCCAGCCCAGACCCGGGTCTCCGTTCAGGTGGGGTCAAAGCCAGTCCTTAGAGTTGTGAGGCCCCAGGTTGGGGGACCCCCCCACCCCTCTGCTTTACTGCCTGTACTCCTGCACACAGCCTCCTCCTGCACCCCAGAGGTCAGGGCCCCCACCAACCATGATCCTGCCCAGGATGCCACCCACTTCCCTCTGCAGGGTCAGCGCTTGCCCCTCTTTCAGGCCTTTGTTCCCCACCACCTGTGAGGCCACTCAGAGCACTTGGTTTCAAATGTCCACCGACTGCTGGCCCCACCAGCACCCAAGCCCGCACCCTGACCTCGGGAGCTCCCCCATCTCCTGGCAGCTGTGTCACTCACATGCCCATCCTCCCTAGCTCCCCAGCCTTCTGCCAGCACGCAAAGTCCCCAAAGCTGGGTATCCCCTGCCCACCCCATGGCAGGCACTCAGGGTTGTAAAAGGAGAGATTCTTGTGAGGGAACTTAAGTTAGGTGACTGGAGGAGCCCCCACACTCTGCAGGGGGACTTGCTTCTTGGAAGGACTGTCCGGGCTCTGGTTACCTGGGGAAGTGGCTGCAGAGGTGGGGCAGGTCTTTGGGCAGCACTGGCCCCAGGTCACAGAATGTCGCCTGTCCCCATCTGCCTGCACATCTGGCCCTGCCCATGTAAGCTGCCCCAGCCTCCATGTTAGGTTCTGGCCACAGCTGCAGGGGGCTCAGGAGCGCTGACGGTGCAAGGTCAGGGAAGCGGGGGCTTGGGGGCCGGCAGGCTGCAGATGCTGCTTCCCAGTCCCGGAGGTGCCAGGCGAGACAGGTGGCCCCCAGTGAGTCATGCTGAGTCCCGTCTGGGGTGCCAGATCAGACTGGGGTTTCCCTGTGACTAAGGCTGGTGTGGCTCTCTGCTCAGCGGCCCAGACGTGGGGCACCTCTGAGTGGCTCCCTACTGCCCAGACAAAGGGGAGCGTTTCTGGTGCCAAGTCAGCCAGTAGCCAGTCTCAGCAGGGCGGAGTGGTCATGGGAGCCTGGCCATTCTTGCATCCCCTCGCTCCCTCACCACCCAGAGCATCGTCTGCCAGGGACAGTGGGTACAAGGCCCTGGACCAAGAGCTGGGGGAAGCCCGGGGTCATCTGTGTGCCTGCAGCCAGCAGCCAGGGCTCTGACCTTCCTGGGCACTCCCCAGGCCACCACTCCCCGGTGTGTGCTTGGCCATGGTTGGTTTGCAGACAAGGAAGGCCAACACGTCTTCAGTGAGCTGTGCCAGCTCGCAGGACTAGCAGCCCAGTCTGCTCAGGAAGCGTCTGACTGCATCAGACTGGCGGCCTAGAGTCCCAGCCCATCCCTGGTCACCCGGACCCAGCCCACCAGAAGGTGCACTTCACTCCCCAGCCTGGCCAGGGCCAGTCCTCAGCATTCCCTGTGGTTCTTGCTCCACCTCTGGAGTCTGAAGCTGGTGGGGGCTCCAGCGGGAGGGGTCACGGAGGCCTCAGGAAGACACTTGCTTCCATGGTGTCTGTCATGGGTGGGCACAGGCAGGGAAGCTGCGCATCCAGACCACCACCCTAAAGGCTTTGCACACACCAGTGGGCCCCACCCCATCCGGGCTGCTGAGAGGGCCAGCTTACTCTCAGGGGCCTGGAAAGGCCAGGAGGTGGAAGGCAGCTGTCAGGGTGAGCTGGCTTGAGCAGATACCTACGACATGCTTCCCCACGGGGAGGGGAACCACACCGAGGCCAGACTCTGGGATAATCCTGGACCTCAGCTTCTTCTCTCCTGTCTTCCAGTGCACTGAGAAAGCACCCCCCCATCCCCCCACCCCCGTCTCCCAGGTGCAGCTGGTGGTGGGTGGCTGACTCCCAAGAGGAGGGCAGAATCATTGGCATTCCTGCCAGCAGGCTGCCTGGGAGTGGGAACCTTCCTCCTGCCTTGGCCAGTCCACAGCCACACTACACACACACACACACACACACCCCTTATTCCCTGAGGCCATGTCCTGGGCCATGCCCCCAGCCTAGGCCTGCCTCCACCTCTCCCTCCTCCACTGCCTTGAAGCCTCTGCCCTCTGGGAATCAGTTCTGGGGACCCAAGTCCAGATCCTGTGACCTTTGGACACAGGTCTGTCCTGTTGCCTGGTCCAGCACACTCAACAGAGGAAGGGGGCAGTTGTGGGGGCAGCCGCCAGGCGCTTGGAGGTCTGGGGCTGAGGCACAGGGCCTTTGCAGCTGGGGTCAGGGCCCCCCCATACAGAGCAGCTTACAGACAGGAAACCCCAAATACATACCTGTCCTGAGGCCACAGAGCAGCTCTTCCAAGCCCAGGGCCATGCCGAGGACTGGCTGTGGACTAGCCTCCTGTGGCTTAGGGGAGCGTGGTGCTCGTGGGGTCCTCCCTGCCTGCCCACTGTTGCCCACACGGGCCCTGGAGGGACCTGTGAGTCCTGGGCCTGCCTCGTCCCACGGTGGCACCTGCGCTCCTCCACTCCCCATGCAGCCTTGGTGCTTGTTAATGAAGTTGTTAGTTTGAAGGTTCTCAACCAGGTACCCCCTACCCAATTTCATGCAGCCCTGAAACAACAGCCTGGGGCCCTGACTCTGGGGGAGGGGTAGGGGCCTGGGGCCCTGGCTCTGGGGGTGGGGTGGGGGCCTGGAGCCCTCTGCTCTGGGGGAGGGTGGGGGTCTTATAGGTCAGTGGCTGCCTGGAGAGACTTCAGAGGGAGGGGGAGGAAGGCCCCTCCAGGTCCCAATTCACCAGCTTTGTGACCTGACAACTTGACCTCCCAAAGCT